TTAGTATTTGAATTTGCCTGCTATTAAACATTCTTCATTATGTTTCTTGCTTTGTGCTCTCCATTTTATCACATAGTTTTGATGCCCTGGGATCTAAATCTACAGAGATAAACAGATATGGTATATATGCATATCTAAAAGTTTGCTATTCTGGACTTCAGACTTACTGCTTGTGTACTTCTATGAATTAGTATTGGTTACTTGTATATATATATATATGGGTACTGTCTAATCAGGAAACAGAAAAAGAGAAAAATATTGAAATTTAAAAAAAAAAACCGTATTGAAACTAGACTTCCTTGATGAATCTAAATTTTTGGTTGCCGCCTCATTCCCCTAAAATATGTGTGAACCTCTCGCCCTTGATCTCCACCAGGTTCCTATTACTTTACAGAAAAATGCTTCAAAGAAGTACACAAGGAGTACTTGGTGTTTAATCAAAAGCTAATACTTATCATCTTGATTTTCATTTTCACATCATATGGCTTTACTTGCAGTTTTGTGATGTCATTTTTTGTTGCCTTCAGTTTGTTTGGACTTTTTATTTGCTTTTCCTAATGTTGTCTGGTGCTTATTGAACATGGATTTATGATGTAGGTGATATTGAATGACCCATTCCTCGGGAAATGAGTGGAAGAAGGCAACTTTTCAACTGTACCATTGCGGGATGAGTTTCTTGAAAATGCCCGTCTTTTTATCTTTGAGACTTATTGCCGAATACATCAGCGCATTGACATGGGGTATGTACCTGATTTTTGTACTTGCATCGGGGAACTTACTATCTTCCAACTTCTCTGCATGTCACTGTGCTGTACACACATTAGTTTCTTTATATCTTCTCTGGCTTTGAGAAACAATGCAATTCTACCATACTTGTTTCCTTTGTTAATAGGACAAATTGTACAGGACTTTTACTGTAAATGGATTGATTGTGGTATAATAAGCTGTACCAATTTCTAAGAAAGTTGTGTTCATGTACTTCTAAGGAAACACTTTTCTGAGCATCCTAAGGCATTTGATTGTGAGAAGACAAAATTTTGAGAATATATTATTACTTTTTTCTACAAAAATTTTGGAATTGTAAAAAATTGATCTGCAACTATTGGGTTGCTTCTAGAGAAACTTTTGAAAATGAATTTCAGAAGCAAACATCCAAAATGTGTTTAATGTCCCATATTCAGTTAATTTCTGGGGATAATTTTTGTTGGTAGGATTTTGATGTTTTTTAATTCCTTGTGATTATTTTGAAGTTTTCTTCTGTTTTGGCAGGGTTCTTGCAGAAAAACTAAATTTGAATTATGATGAGGCTGAGAGATGGATTGTGAATCTTATCCGAACCTCAAAGCTTGATGCTAAGATTGATACAAAGTCGGGAACTTAAAAAAAGGAAAACAAATTGGTATAAAAGATTAGGAGTGGTATATTCAATTAATATAATGTTACAAGAAAAACAAAAAAAAGGCAACAAAACAAACTAATAAAAAGTTTTCAATAAATAATTTTGCGGACTGCTGTCTGATATATTTTCTCTCTTGATTACAATTCTTAAACAAAATTACATCATTTTGATTCATAGTATTATTAAACAAATTGCATCTGACTTCACTTATTACACTTTATGTGAATTAAAAAACTCCAAAGAATTAAGAATAATAGATAATGAATAAAATTTCACATTCTGTCCATAATGAATAGAATTTGTTAGAATCCCAACACTTTTCCATCAAGCACCATTGCTACCATTTTGGTCTCACTATGAAATTCCATGGCCAGTTCATTATATTTCTCTTATTCACTGCACAACATTGTATATGTTGATGCAATTTTATCATTTTTGATTGTCAACGAGTTTTTGAGAAAATAAACGATTACTTTCTTTCAGGTATCTAAATGCCATTCAAACAAATGCTCCCCATCTTTTGCGTTATCTAGCCACTGCTTTTATTGTCAACAAAAGGAGACGACCTCAATTCAAAGATTTTATAAAGGTTGTCCAACAAGAGCAGTATTCATATGAAGATCCAATCACAGAATTTTTGGCATGTGTATATGTCAATTATGATTTTGATGCTGCCCAAAAAAAGATGAGAGAGTGTGAAGAAGTAAGCTCCATTTTCGTTAAAGTGTGTGTTTTCTGTTGTTAGTATTTGAATTTGCCTGCTATTAAACATTCTTCATTATGTTTCTTGCTTTGTGCTCTCCATTTTATCACATAGTTTTGATGCCCTGGGATCTAAATCTACAGAGATAAACAGATATGGTATATATGCATATCTAAAAGTTTGCTATTCTGGACTTCAGACTTACTGCTTGTGTACTTCTATGAATTAGTATTGGTTACTTGTATATATATATATATGGGTACTGTCTAATCAGGAAACAGAAAAAGAGAAAAATATTGAAATTTAAAAAAAAAAACCGTATTGAAACTAGACTTCCTTGATGAATCTAAATTTTTGGTTGCCGCCTCATTCCCCTAAAATATGTGTGAACCTCTCGCCCTTGATCTCCACCAGGTTCCTATTACTTTACAGAAAAATGCTTCAAAGAAGTACACAAGGAGTACTTGGTGTTTAATCAAAAGCTAATACTTATCATCTTGATTTTCATTTTCACATCATATGGTTTTACTCGCAGTTTTGTGATGTCATTTTTTGTTGCCTTCAGTTTGTTTGGACTTTTTATTTGCTTTTCCTAATGTTGTCTGGTGCTTATTGAACATGGATTTATGATGTAGGTGATATTGAATGACCCATTCCTCGGCAAATGAGTGGAAGAAGGCAACTTTTCAACTGTACCATTGCGGGATGAGTTTCTTGAAAATGCCCGTCTTTTTATCTTTGAGACTTATTGCCGAATACATCAGCGCATTGACATGGGGTATGTACCTGATTTTTGTACTTGCATCGGGGAACTTACTATCTTCCAACTTCTCTGCATGTCACTGTGCTGTACACACATTAGTTTCTTTATATCTTCTCTGGCTTTGAGAAACAATGCAAATCTACCATACTTGTTTCCTTTGTTAATAGGACAAATTGTACAGGACTTTTACTGTAAATGGATTGATTGTGGTATAATAAGCTGTACCAATTTCTAAGAAAGTTGTGTTCATGTACTTCTAAGGAAACACTTTTCTGAGCATCCTAAGGCATTTGATTGTGAGAAGACAAAATTTTGAGAATATATTATTACTTTTTTCTACAAAAATTTTGGAATTGTAAAAAATTGATCTGCAACTATTGGGTTGCTTCTAGAGAAACTTTTGAAAATGAATTTCAGAAGCAAACATCCAAAATGTGTTTAATGTCCCATATTCAGTTAATTTCTGGGGATAATTTTTGTTGGTAGGATTTTGATGTTTTTTAATTCCTTGTGATTATTTTGAAGTTTTCTTCTGTTTTGGCAGGGTTCTTGCAGAAAAACTAAATTTGAATTATGATGAGGCTGAGAGATGGATTGTGAATCTTATCCGAACCTCAAAGCTTGATGCTAAGATTGATACAAAGTCGGGAACTGTTAGCATGGAACCTAATCATCCTAATGTGTAAGTCCAGCTTCTGGCATATGATGATGTTTCTGCTGTTCTGTTCGTTTACTTCCTGACTGCCATTTGTTTTCCTCTGTTATTTTTATTTAGTTCGATACCTTTTTTAATTTTTTTTCAACCAAATACGTTTTTTTGGTTGCAGGTATGAGCAGTTAATAGACCACACCAAGGGTCTGACTGTAGTACGCAAAAGTGGTTTTCCCGTATCATACATAAAAATTAATTTCAGCCATTGATCCTCATCTTTTAATCTGTGTCGTCCGATCAAAAACAAAATCCACGTAGGTCTACCGGTTACAACCAGTGAAAAACAAAAATGCAAAACCTAGTTAGGTCCACTTTCTCTCTCTTTGCTTCCCTCCATCTCTCGCCTCTTTCCTCATCGATGGCGGTTCTTTTGGCATTCTCTGCCCGCTGAATGGCATCGCAATGCTCTGGAAACCTTCATTCACCAACAATTCCATGTCGGTCAAAATAACTCGTCTCACCCCAAGCTTTAGCATTGTTTGTGGATTTATGTTTCTATTAAAAATTCTGTACATGTATGATTATATATATCTCTTTTTTCATATATATATATATATATATTATAGAATGGCTCATATATGTTTTGATGGTCTTTATTTGTTAAGGGAAATAAGTGGAGCCCCAAATGGAATTTTTTACTTTCTTGAAGAAAATTTTCTTGCAAAACAAACAGAGCACGTTTTAAAAAAATCCGATCCACTTTCTTTAGTTTTGAAAAGTGACGTGTTTTCCTTTTGGTAATTAACTGAAGGTTTGCATTCTTCGGCTTCATTTGTATCCCGAATGCTTGATTGAACAGACCATGATTCTTTTTTTGGAGCATAATTCTTCAGCTAAACCATTTATTGAGTAAATTAAGGTTATGTTCGATTTATGTATTTGGTAAAAGATTTGAAAAATAAAAATAAAAAGGGATTGAAATATGAATTAAATATGATTATATTATATATATTTTAATTCTTTATCATCTCCTGGCAAATTAATTGGCAATCACTTTACTAAATGTGATCCAATTTATTAGTAATTATGGTAAATTTTAACTCAATTTAAAATTAATTATTTTGTTATATTTTAAGCATTTAAACTGAGGTGGTGACGGTGATTATAGGCTAGTGGTGAAAGTGGAAGGGTTTAAACAAATTTCACACCAGTAATAAGTTCATAGTTTCAAATTAAATTATAACATAATATTTTATTTAATTTATTTATTAATTTATTATTTTAAAAAATAACTTCAAATAATTAAAAATTTAGTTTTATAAAACCACAGATATAGAAATTGCTAATGGTCTATATACCATACTGAACAATATTTTACTTACTATTTCATTATACATGATTTATTATTCAATCAAATTCTATTTAGTACTTAATGAGACTTAACTTACTAACAAACTTCACTTACTATTCAATAATACTCCATTTGCTATTTCATCTAACTACTACTCAATTAAACCTTACTTACAACTCAATGATACTCAATTTGTAGAGCCATCAAAGAAATTAGGTGTAGGCAAGCATTCATTCGACCCGTCACCAATTCGCTACAAATTGGGCGATTTCAATGGTCCGAGCGAATGGATGAAAAAGTATTTTTTTCAATATGTCTAAGTTCATATATGTTAGACTTATTTATTTTAATGATTTATTTAATTATGTTTTAATTTATTTGGAAGAAAAAAATATAATCAAAATTTATTTTGATAATTTATTTGAAAGAGAAAAATAGAATCAATATTTATTTTGATGATTTATTTAATTATGTTTTAATTTATTTGAAAAAGAAAAATAGAATCAAAATTTATTTTGTCTCATTATTTCTCACATAAACTTTTATCCTAAATGTTGTTAGAATGTATTTAATATTTATTTAAATCAGGAGTTCAAACAACCCAAAAACAAAGGTTCAAACAGCCCAAAATCAGATGTTCAAACAGCCCAAAACAGAGGTTCAAAGCATAATTAAATAGAGGTTCAAAGCTCCGGACATCCGGGTGGACATCCGGTCGGACAACCGGCCAGGCCATTTTTGCCCAGTTCTGTTTCGTTTCGAATTCTTCTCTCAACGGAATTGAACTACAATGACTATTTTTTTAAAATAAAGATGTTCCAGACTAACCTTGTCTCCCACAAGATCAAATCAGTAATGATGGAATGTGTTTTATTCAAATGAGACGGAATGGTAAGTGTTGTGTTTTTGAATGGTAATTAAACTCATTTAAACCACACTTACTACTCAAAAAGACTATACTTACTACTTTATCAGACTTGATTTACCACTCATTTGAATTACACTTACTACTCAATGAAACTCTACTTACTAGGTGGTAAAATGGATGGTAAGTGATAAGTTGAGTCATAAAGAGTTGCAAGCAGAATGAGAAGGAATGGTAAGTGTTGTGTTTTTTAATGGTAATTAAATTCATTTAAACCACACTTACTAGTCAATAAGACTGTACTTATTACTTTATCAAACTTGATTTACCACTCATTTGAATCACACTTACTACTCAATGAGACTCTACTTACTACTTTATCAAACTTGACTTATCAGTCATTTAAACAACACTTACTAGTCAATGAGACTATACTTATTATTTCATCAGACTTGACTTACTACTCATTTAAACCACACTTACTACTCAGTAAGACTGTACTCATTACTTTATCAGACTTAACTTACCACTCATTTGAATCACACTTACTACTCAATGAGACTCTACTTACTATTTTATCAAACTTGACTTATCAGTCATTTAAATAACACTTACTACTCAATAAGATTCTACATCATATTTATAATAAAACATTGGATCTTGCTCTTCTTTACCACATAAGTAAGCCAAAGCACCTTCTGCGTCACCATCGACAACTTACGCTCTACGCTCAGTCCCAAAATGGTTGTACATGTCCTTCTGTATGAACCCAACATTCTCATAACCACCTGCTTGTTGTGCAACAAAGTCCATAATGTGACTTGTCCTCATACCAATATGATGCATTGCATTGCCTTGTGCCTTGTCGGCACTCGTAACATTCCGGTGTGAGCGAAGAAATTGAACACCAAGAGGCCCTATCATGGAATGATTGTGCTCCTTGAAAAATTCATTCATTTCATATTTGGAAGTACTCCGATTGTATTTGATACGAAAACAAGCACGGCAACCAACTCTAGTTAACTGTTTTGGTTCTCTTTTACGTTCTTCAACCTCAAGGTATTTGGATTGTCTATATCCTTCTTTTGAACATACCCAACTCCTTGATATAACCATATTATTCTTGTCCTTATACAATTGATCCCTTCGAATACTAAAGCCTTTCACCTTAGCATACGAATTATAAAATCTTTCTCCGTTTTCTTCTGAATCAAATGTCATTTCAAACACATCCTTTTCAGTTAATTCATCTAGACGCTTAATATCTCTTTCGGTTGGAATATTATTAGAATTGATGATATTATATTCATTATGAATATTATACTCACCATCATTACCGTCATCATCAACTAGTTCATATATAATGTTATTCTTGTTTTGCTCAGTGTTGTCTTCTATCTGCAATAAGCATAAACAAATTAATTAAGAAAAAGCAACTAGAAAATGGTAAGTAAAATACTAGGTGGTAAAATAGATGGTAAGTGGTAAGTTGAGTCACAAAAAGTTGCTAGTAGAATGAGAAGGAATGACAAGTGTTGTGTTTTTGAATGATAATTAAACTCATTTAAACCACACTTACTACTCAATGAGACTGTACTTACTACTTTATCAGAATTACACTTACTACTCAATGAGACTCTACTTACTACTTTATCAAACTTAACTTATCAGCTATTTAAATCACTCTTACTAGTCAATGAGACTATACTTACTATTTCATTAGACTTGACTCACCACTCATTTAAACCATACTTACTACTCAATCAGACTGTACTTACTACTTTATTAGACTTGACTTACCACTCATTTGAATTACACTTACTACTCAATGAGACTCTACTTACTACTTTATTAAACTTAACTTATCAGTCATTTAAACAACACTTACTACTTAATAAGATTCTACTTATTATTTTATCAGACTTAACTCATTTAAACCACACTTACTACTCAATGAGACTGTACTTACTACTTTATCAGAATCACACTTACTACTCAATGAAACTCTATTTACTACTTTATCAAACTTGACTTATCAGCCATTTAAACCACTCTTACTAGTCAATGAGACTGGACTTACTATTTCATCAGACTTGACTTACCACTCATTTGAATCACACTTACTACTCAATGAGACTCTACTTACTACTTTATCAGACTTGACTTACTACTCATTTAAGCCACACTTACTACTCAATAAGATTATACTTACTACTTTATCAAACTTGACTTATCACTCATTTAAACAATACTTACTCAATGAGACTCTACTTACTGCTTTATTAGACTTGACTTATCAATTATTTAAACTAAATTTAAGAATACATTTACTATTTCATCAAACTTGATTTTTTTTTTCTTACCACTTGAATCTCATAATTTTTCTTTTAACTAACTGAAATATTATTCCAACAAAACATAAAAATTTATAAATTCAAAATATAATGGAAGTGAAAGTAAAAAGAGAGAGACTTACCTAAGGAGTTCCAAATCAACAGCAATTCTATCTTAAAATCTCCGAAAGATTTAGAAATGAACATCCTTGACTTATCAATCATTTAAACTAAACTTAAGACTACATTTACTACTTCATCAAACTTGATTTTTTTTTTTCCCTACTACTTGAATCTCATAATTTTTCTTTTAATTAGGTGAAATGTTGTTCCAACAAAACATAAAAATTTATAAATTCAAAATATAATGGAAGTGAAAGAAAAAAAGAGAGAGACTTAACTAAGGAGTTCCAAATCAACAACAATTTTATCTTAAAATCTTCGAAAGTGTTAGAAATGAACATCAAATTTTGTTTATGGAATCCTCAAATGAATTTGAAATTTTTCTATATTTTGTTAATCATATTTCTCATTAATTGCATTTATTGTGGTAGATGAAAAAGATACTAGGTTTCATTTATTGCCATTCATTGCCATTAAGTACATAAATAAAAAAAAATCATATTCCATAAAATGTAAAAAATTATAATAAAATTTATAAATTTCATATTTATTTTGTTTATATATATAAATTTTATATTTATTTTAGAGGGTAGGTGCATTTTATTAATGTTTGAATGGTAAGTGTAATTATGTGGAATAATTACAACTATATCAAGTAGTAAATGTGTTTTGTTGTTGTAATAAATTGAAAAACACTCATTTAAACCATACTTACTATTTTATCAGACTTACTTACCACTCATTTAAACCATATTTACTACTCAATGAGACTCTACTTATTACTTTATCAGACTTGACTTACTACTTATTTAAATAATACTTACTACTCAATAAGACTCTACTTACTACTTTATTAAACTTGACTCATCACTTAAACAACACTTACTACTCAATTAGACTCTATTTACTACTTTATCAAACTTGACTCATTATTTAAACAATACTTACTACTCAATGGGACTCTACTTACCATTTTAGTAGACTTGATTAATTAATCATTTAAACTAAACTTAAGATTGCACTTACTATTTCATCAAACTTGATTTTTTTTTTTTTTTTACCACTTAAATCTCATAATTTTTCTTTTAACTGGGTGGAATGTTGTTCCAACAGAATATTAAAATTTATAAATTCAAAATATCACGGAAAGTTAATGTTAAAAAAGAGATAGAGACGATAGAGACATAGATTCTTACCGAAGGAGTTCCAAATCAACAACAATCTTATCTTTAAATCTTCAAATATTCAAAAATTTTAAAAATAAACATAAAATTTTGTTCATGGAACCCTCATATAAATTATAAATTTTTCTATATTTTATTACTTATATTTCTTCATTAATTGCATTTATTATTTTCAAGTGTGATAAATGAAAAGGAAATTAGGTTTCATTTATTGCTATTAAGTAGATAAATAAATAAAAAATCATATTTCATAAAATATAATAAATTATAATAAAATGTTTAGAATTCAAATTTATTTTGTATATTTTTTTCTTTAATTCTATTTTATAAATTTTATATTTATTTTAGAGATTTTGAAAATTTACTATAACTTAATTTTTTAAGTTTACCTGTTACCTGAATAGCAGGTTAAGTGTATTTTATCAATAGTTGAATGGTAAGTATAGTTATTAATAATAGTAAGTATAATCACATCAAATAGTAAGTATACTTAGTTATTGTGGTAAGTTAAAAATTACTTTTTGGTTTCAAAACCATTAAAAACTACCTTATTTTTTACGAAACTACCTAGATTTCTTAACCTGGTTTTAATTATTATAAATCAATGGTTAGATTTAGTTTATTTTTAGATCTAATGGTCCAAAATTATTTATGTATGATACATCAAAACTACCTTCATGTATCATAGAAAAATCCCTATGCACACACGTCATCATTAAATAACAAATTATTTATCCTTCTAAAAGGTGATGATTATCCCAAAAAAAGTCTCCACCATAAAATAAATAATTAAAATAAAAATTCAAATGCAAAAGGCCATAATGAGAAATCCCCCACCAACTCAAAAGTTTTTTTTAATATTTCCAAAAAATCAAATTATTTATCAATCCAACTTACTTTTCAAATTATTTATCAAATTAACTTATTTTTAAAAAAATCTAAGTTTAAAATACAATTTTATTGAGAAATCAAATATTCAAAATGCGATTTCATGATGAAATTAAAATATGATTTTATATTGACATGATTTACTGGTGTGTTAATGTTGGCTATGTCAATATGAAATTACATGTTCAAGATGCGATTTTATCATAAAATTATATTTTAAATTTGTGATTTTAAAAAGTGAGTTAGTTTGATAAATAATCAAAAAAATTAATTATTTACATAAATAATTTAATTTTTTGAAATATTCAAACACCCCCCCCAAAAAAAAAAAAAAAAGAAAAGAAAAGAAAAAACTCCCAATTCACATATAGACACTGGCCTTTTCAAAAGTTCCCAATGGCATTCTCACAATAAAAAACCATCATCAGGGGCAAATATTTTTATAACATGAGATTTTAAATTTGAAAACCAAATTTTTGGAAATTGAAATTTTTTTGATTTAATTCATTTTTTGAAAAGTAGAAGTTTTAATTTTTAGTAATTTTTTTATTATTTTACGTAATTTTTATATTTGTTAGATATATCTAATCTAGATACACCTAAAAAGTATAGTATTTGTGAATTTTTTTTTTAAAAAAATATCACATATAAAAAAATATGTAAAAATGTAATATATTTTCATATTTTATTGCATTTAATGAATTTTTTATAAGAATTTTGTACAAATTTTATACCTTTTAAATATATGAAAATTAACTGAATCTAAAAGCTAAAAAAAATTACTTTAGTTTGTTTGGACAAAAAATATTTTTTGGAAAATATTTTATGTATTTTCTGATATTTAGTATAATGGAAAATGAAAGTTAATGAAAAACATTTTATATGGTTAATAAAAACAAGCCTAATATTGGCATAAAATATTTTTCACGTTTTAAAAATAGAAAATGTTTTTCAAACTAAAGTCTTACTAATATCATCTCATTATCACCGTTATTCTCACTTCCATCACCACACCATAGCCATTGCGACCATCACCGTCCCTATCACTACTACCATTGCCCTACCACCATGCCACCACCGCCACCTCTACCTTCGTTTGGCCACCACCACTATCACCATATATAGAAAAATATTTTTTTCAAAAAAAAATTCATATTTTTTACCCAAACAAAAGGAACATATTAAAATATTTTAAAAAATCATAAACAATACAAAAATATGAATTCAAAACTTAAAAAATAATATTGAGTAATATTGGGTTAGTTTGGCATCTATTATATAATCTATTTTTTTATCTTTTTTTCATCACATCATCTTTTTACTTTTCTGCACATTTTTTTCATAAAAAGATAAAAAATATATTTTTTTAGAACATCCCAAACCAATCATCTTAAAAATTCTATCAAAAGTCTAACCGAGTTGGGATTCACATGATGAATATCCTGATGTAAAAAAAAAATTTAGAAACTTTGTCATTTTTGAATAGTATTGGAAGCCTCGTTTGGAAAAAAACAAATAATTAATGGGAAGTTGTTAATACTAGGGTGCATCTAAAAGCACCCTAGAGAAAGGAACCTGGAAAGCGAGTCTCATACTTTGCTTGCCTACTGGCCATTGTCCTCTCTTTCTCCCGTTTCGTTTCCCTTTCTCGCCGACACAAACACGGTGAAAACACACACACACATACACACACGCACATACACATTTCTCTCTCTTCATTACTCTACTCTTCGAATCTCTCTCTCTCTCTCTACTCTCTCTGTCTCTTTCTTTAATGTCAACAACAACGCAACAACTACTACAATGGCGAAACCAACCCCAGACGACTTCACCCTCTCTCTCTTCTTCTTCTTCCTCTTCTTCTTCTCCAATCTCCCTTCCCTGGCTCTCTGACACAGTTTCTAACTCCGCATTCGTTCGCCAACTCTTGTGAAATTTACTCAAATGGAGAAGAATAGAGCTATCTCTCTGCTCATCGCGACGACGATCTTGGCTTTGAGTGTCGTTGAAGGGACTACTGATTCGTCTGATGGTACTTCTCGCTCTCTCTCTCTCTCTCTCTCTCTCTCTTCCTATCTTCGTTTTGATACTTCTGTTTGGATTTGTTGTTGATTGATTGATTGATTTGGTATGTGTTGCACGATTGATGAGTTTTGAAGTTAACTGTTTGTGATTTTTTACTTGTCAAAAAATGTTAAAAAGAAGTCAACTTTTAAAAGATTAGTGTTGACTCTGTGATTCAGTGGATCCTGATTTTGTGATTTACTCTTTTTCATATATGAAGGTTTGCTCTGAAAGTTTTGAGATGTGACACTTTTTAAGCAGTTGAATATAGATAGGGAAAAAAAAAAAAAACAACAAACTGAAGAAATAAAAGTAAAAATAAAAATTTAAGCTGTTCAATGTAGACAGAGGGTGAAAAAAAATGAAGAAATCAAAATCTGGGGCAGTTGTATAGGGGTAATTTGGGCTTAAGAAAATTAGTGACATAACTTCAAAATTAGTGGCATAGTATATCTGAATATATACTAGAAGCGGTGGGTGGCGCAGGAGATGCATGCACATATAATCATTTTGTTTGAGAAGATAAGATTGTAAACTGTATGATTGAATTCAAAATCTGAAAATTGAAATGAATTTGGAAAAATCAAAAGTTGTGAGATTTGAAGAAAAAATAAAAAATAAATAAAAAAATATGTAATTTGGTGTTGTTTGAGACATAAATATAGATAGATAGATAGATAGGTAGATAGATAGATAGAAGATATATGCATGTGTATAACATGTTGGTTCGATCTTCTGAATTTGGTGTTGTTTGAGTTGCAGTTCAAGCTCTTCAGGTTATATACAGTTCACTGAACAATCCTTCACAGCTAACTAATTGGAAAACGAATGGTGGTGATCCTTGTGGAGAGTCATGGAAAGGGGTTACCTGCCAAGGTTCTGCTGTTGTTTCAATGTGAGGGCATATAATGTCAAAGTAGGCTTAAATCTACACACACACACACACATATATATATATATATATATTAATGAGACATTTTGTTGTTTTATAACAGCCAGATTTCTGGGTTGGGTCTCAGCGGGACAATGGGATACTTACTTGCGAGCTTCCTGTCATTAAGAACATTGTAAGAAACATTTTGTTTGATCTACTAAAATTGCTTTTAGCTAATTAGACTATTTAGTGACTTTTTTATTTTTTATGCAGAGATATGAGCAACAACAATATTCACGACACAATTCCGTATCAGTTACCACCAAACCTTACGACCCTGTAATGATGGATTGTTTATTGAAGTTTTCCTGATTCTAGAAGCTGTTTGAGTTAAATGCTTAATATGCCAATGCTTAATTGTTATACAATGCAGAAATCTTGGAAACAACAACTTGAGTGGAAATCTACCTTATTCCATTTCCAGCATGGTTTCTCTTAGTTATCTGTAAGTATCATACCTGGAATGCTATCAATACTCTGTTCCAAAAAAAAAAAAAAAAGAAAAAAAAGTAAAAAGAATGCTATCAATACTTTTTGCATGTTATATTTAATTTATTTACACAATTTTTAGTTACATTTCGGGAGTCTTTCCTGTTGCCTAACCTTAAATTTCTTGATTTTAGGAACTTCAGCCATAATTCTCTCTCTCAGGCAATTGGAGATATGTTTTCTAATCTTACTGGGCTGGCTACCTTGTAAGATATCATATTTAAATGCATTTGCAGTGTCATTTGGTTGTCTTTTCTCCAAATAATTATTGACGTTTATACTTCTGCCTAGTGACTGTAATATCAGGGTTTGTTATATTGAATTGATATTTGTTGAATTTTATGTCCTCTGAAACCTTCCGGAGTTGGTTAAACTTTGGTCACTTTTGGAAGTGGTTCTGATTTATTAGAAATTCAATCGAGTATCTGTTCTCCTTCATTTGGGAGTACCAAAGAAAAGCTAAACAATTACCTCCCAATGAACAACACCGAAGGAAAAAACACATTCTTTAGAAAGAAGAGAACACAATCTTAAGCTCATTTTATGGATGTTATGCCTCTTATGTTTCCTAGCGTATTGTGCATAAATAACCAACTTGTTCCTTATTTCAATGTGGTCTGGCCAATCATACACTGCTGGAAAAAGCACTTTCCATCATCTATCTGTCATTTGTTATTGTCTAGCAGCCTCTATAATATTTCCCTTATTACGTTCCAAGTCAAAATTTAGCCGGAAAATGACTATTGGATATCTCCTGGCAAACAATTTTCAACTTTTCTGTTTGTATTCTTCCTTCTCTACTAAGTTATTGCTCCATGTAGGTTTATGTTTGTTTATATTTGTGTCTTAAATATTGCTTACTCAAACCTTTGATTCTAACACGTATTTATTCCCATAATCAGCATATTTCACATTACTTTGGTTTTTTTTGCTGAAACTAATTTAGCACACAATATGAATTATACCCCTCAACTTGTTCTAGCCAACTTGAGTGGGTGGGTGCTTATAAGCTGTAGCCATAGACGCATGCTTAGTGTTCTTTGAGATACAATGGCATCATTCATGTCCTTTATTACGTGAACAAAAATCTGTATGGTATAGTTTTGCTTTCTTAAAAGACACCACATAATCTCTCAAGAGTCCTCCATGTTCTATTAGTAAGTTGAATGACTCTCACTCTCTCTCTCTCTCTCTGCTCTTTGTTAGTTGACTGAATGAGGACTTAGCTTGAAGCCAAACTTGATAAAATCATCTTTGTTATAGCTTCATCCATAGTGTAGCTTGAAGCCAACTAATTATACAATTTTGTTGTAGTTTAGTAGTAATGGCTTAGCATGGGTTAAGAATTTAGCACCATAATTATTAAAACCAAAAAAAGAAAAGGAAAGAAAAGATTTACAAAATTGTAAAATCTTAATGTAAACCACAATAACTTGCTACTTTTAATGGTCAAAATAACTTGGGGGACCCTATGAAAGTTTTACTTACAGACTGCAAATCTGATTTATGAAAAAACAAAACGAACAATATATGATTGACATTTACAATTTTTAGTCATGATTTCTTCCTATGTGGGTGAATATATAATTGTCAAGCAATGTCTAGTGTGTCAGTTGTGTGTGTACCCTATGAAGAGCAGTTTCAGTTTCTGATATATACTACCAACAAAATATCTCCTTAGTTTTTTTTAAATTAAACTAATGTTTATGTATTGCATTGTAGGGATCTCTCTTTCAACAACTTTACCAGTGATCTTCCCAGTTCATTTATTGCGTTGACCAATATTTCTACTCTGTGAGTGTAATGAAGTGCTAATTTATAGTTGATATTTTATTTTTGGGGTTCAGTTCAGTTTGTTTGAACTTCTGCTGGTTTCTTGATTTTTGGCAGTCATGTGCAGAACAACCAATTAACTGGTTCTCTTAATGTTCTGGCTAATTTACCTTTGACAGATTTGTAAGTTCATTCCCTAACTCTAGGCCTTGAATTTTATATTTCTCACCAGCCTATTATTCTCATGCCTTGAATTTTTCATAGAAATGTTGCAAACAACCATTTCAACGGGTGGATACCAAGAGAGCTTATTTCTATCCCTAGATTTATGTAAGTGATGCATGCAATATAATATCATGCCTGTTTGTGTTATATTTTAGGACTTCTCCAATATGTCTAATCTAGCATTTTAAATAAACAGATATGACGGAAATTCATTTGATAATGGTCCTGCTCCTCCTCCACCACCATATACCTCGCCTCCCCCAGGTAGACCACATAATAATCGAAGTCATTCTCCTCCAGGGGCAGATTCACCACAGGGATCTGGTGGTCAATCATCCAATCCAGACAATGGAAATAAAAAGGCACTAGCAGCTGGGCCGATTATAGGCATAGCTCTAGGTTCTTCGTTGGTGGTCTTCTTTGCAATGCTTGTGATTGTGTTTTGCCTCCGAAAGGGTAAAAGGAAGGAACCCACTGCTGTTAGAACTTCTTCAGGAAGTCTCCCTGTTAGCACAGATAAAGGTATGTCCTTTTCCCGATTAAAAGAAAGAAAGAAAGGCAGAGAACTTCTTTTTGGTTAGTTCTTTTTATTAATTTGTTTATATCAAAAGTTCTTGCTATTTATTTAATATCAGAATTAACTTTAGGTTCAGTGCTTGAACTGTCTTCCAATTGTTTGGAAATTTAATGATAGCAACTTATTCCTTTTTGAAGTCTCTACACATATTATAACATCAGTTTATGCTTCTGAATTATTCAGTTGTACATTGTTCTAGATGTTCATATCAAGGTTAAATGTCCTAAAAGTATGATGAAATTTGTAATACTGATTAAGCTATCTTTTAATACCCTCCTACTTTCTAAGCCATTTTGTCTTTTAAATGTCCCACTCTTGATATGAATCTATCCACTCCAAAGTCGCATGCCCACTCACACCCTCATCGACACCAATCTACTTAGGCCAGCCTCCATTTCGTGGTCATGGGTATTGTTAGATACCTTCTTCAAGATCAAGTTCATGATCATATGCCTATGCCGCTTATTGTTATTAAGTAGATTGTTGATGTCCACCAATAGTTGTTGAAAGTTTAACTAATACCATTGGAAGGATTAATGACAGAATTTCATGATTGGGGACATGGCAACAATGCTTTGTCATTCTAGAAGGAAAAAAGAAAAAGAAAAAAAGAAACAAAAATATGTCGGAAGAATCATGTGTACCCTAAAAGTTGTTAGACAGTGTCTTGAATGTGATTGATTTATATTGTGGGGTCTATCATATTTATGTTGGTGTTTTGCTTAACAATATGGAAAGTAATAGTTGGTGATTGATGTGGGACACCACATGGCCATGCCACGTGATAACCTGTACCCAATTTTTTCCCCTCCAATAGGGAAAATTGTTATATGCAGGAAGGGTATCACGTGATATTGTCATATAGTATTCTAAACCAATCACCAAATGCCCTTCCTTCATGTTGATAGGCAAAACACTAGCATAAATATAATAGACCCTCCATTTAAACCAATCGCAACAGTGAGCAGTATGTGAGAATACCCTTTTGCTTATCCGATAACTCCTCCAATAAAGATGCTATATGCAATAATAAATGGTGATACAACATCTTCTATAATTCGATTTGAAATTTCATAGTTCAATCAATTTGAAATTTACTATCTAATACCAACATTAGACGATTACCACTCTTATGAGATGAATGTTTCACGAATTTCTTAATTTCAAAATGAGAAAAGTGAAAGTGTGAATTTTCTTTTACATATCAAAAAGTGTGAAAATTTACAGTTTTCATCACACAAAAAAATATGAAAATTCACATTCAAGAACTTGGAATTGTAAAATTTTAGAGTTCTAGAAACTGAAAGTATGAAATTGCGCAATTTATTTTAATCTTTTATGGCCCTGTTTGGTGTTGCTGTTAAAACAGATTATAGATTATAGCTTAACAGATTATAGATTATGACTTTAATTAGAAGCTGTTAATCTGTTTGGTGTGGCTGTTAGCTTATAGATTTAAGTTGCTGAGTAGTGTTTGTTAAATAAGCTGTGAAGTAGTTTTTTCAATTAACTTTTATTTTTTGCTATTCACTACTTATCTACATTTCTCATAAATAATAATAATAATAATAATAATAATAATAATAATAATAATAATAATAATAATAATAATAATGTATAGTTCATTTGGGTCTTTTTTTATTTTTTTAAAAAAATAAAAATAAAAAAAATCTAAGAGTATAATCGTAAATCAACATGTCCACAGCAGAAACTGATAATCAAAAGTAAGGGGTGAACAATTTTTCAGAATCAACTTTTTTGAATTGAAATAAGTTGTTAGAATCAGAAATTGTTTGAAATAAGTTTAATCAAACAGTCCAAAATAGCTTTTCCAAAGCTAGAAGTTGTAAGTTGGCTCAAAAAAGCCCAAACAAACATTCCCATTGTGATTTATAACTCATTTTTAAAAGTGAAATTTTACACTTTCTAAACCAAGTTTCAGAAAGCATGGAAGTTCACAGTTCTAGACTCAAAAAGTGTAAAATTTCACACTTTTTTCTTTTTACATAATTACATGTTCAATTGAGATCTTGGTTGATAGATCTCGTTGAGTAGGTTTAAAATATATAAATATATATATTTATCAAAACCGGACGTGTACAATGAAAGTTACGGAATTTTAAAATTTGAAACACAAAAGGACAAAAGACGAGCCGTGTTAGCACGTGCATACCACGTTTCCAATTGGTGATTGTTTAAAAATGAAGGAGAAAAAGTCAAAAAATTTGCTAAAAATTAGAAAATGAGACTTAAGCGTCTAAACAATTTATATAATGGGATTTTATGGGTTAATAAAAATGTCATGGGATCTAATTGGAAACAAGTCCACCTGTTGGGACTTCCCACTAATTCTCCAGAATTAAATAGTCTAGAGAACGAGGATTAATAGGTATATTTGTTTTTTGGTCATGAAGGTCAAAAATTTATATAGATTCAAAGAATGTACATACTACAAGGGGCATTACCCTAGGCAAATCAAAAGGCCCTTCTCTATACCAATACATTTACCCTATACAAGGACCAAAGCTCATGAAACATAACAACTTGGGAAATAGGCACATTATCTCAACCAGCAAAATTGTTGCTCTAGCTAGTAAATTTTTGAGATGGTTTAATCACTGATCGATCTATCAAGACAAATTAAATTATTTTGATTGATTAAAATCTACAACAATATGGGTCCCGCCAAAATTATGGGACATAAACCAATTTGGAAATATGGGTTAAACCAAAAGAAAATTGTCAACCCATTTTGATAGTACGATGCACAGAAAATTAGGTCAACTAGTTGCTGCAAATTCCATGTTTTCTGTAGTGCCTATTTGGATCTGAATTTGCAAAACAAGTCAGTTGCATCTCTCAACCACAAACTAAAGACTTAATTTCAATTAGTACTGTAACATCTTTGTATGAATTTCTGTTATTCCTTTCATTCCAGGTAATATAAACAATTTGGTATAAATCCACATGGTTTTTAATTATGATTGAGTAAGTGACGGAGGCGTGTCTCCTTCAATAGTCTGAAGTTTGTCTGGTTTTAGAAAATATAAAAATTAATAGGAAATGTTTGGATGTGTGTCTGACATGTGGTGGGGAGTTATTGACGAGTGTCAGTGTCCAAACAAATCACCTTCTTCAAAGTGTATGTGCTTCTTAGTTGCAAATAGACTGAAGTACAATGATTAAAGTGGGATGAGATATTGGACAGCCTCAGCTTTAATGTGATGTGAAACATGTCCATTGTCCAACATTATGTTGAGCTGGCATTGCTATCAATTTAATGTGAATTGCATGTATTTGTTTCTTATAGTATTATATCCTGGGTCTTGTAAATTAATTTGTGCTATGTTACTTTGTGTGTTCTCTTTCATGTTATGCTATGGTTATGTGTTTGTTAGTAGGATGGAGCTGAAAGCTCTCCTGATGACAGCCTGACCTTTTCCGTCTTGCATTCTGCTTCTCTTTGTAGTGACTACAGAGATGCAAGAGCAGAGGATGAAATCCACAGCTACTGTGGCAGACTTGAGGCCCCCACCTACAGAAAAATTAATGGTTGACCGGCTACAAGGGAAAAATGGATCTGTAAAGAGAGTTAAGTCTCCTGTAACAGCTACTGCTTACACAGTTGCTTCTCTCCAAACAGCAACAAACAGCTTTAGTCAAGAAAATCTTATTGGGGAAGGTTCCCTTGGTCGTGTTTATAGAGGAGAATTTCCTAATGGAAAGGTAATTTCATTGTTTCTCAGTAAGTATCCCATGTCATTCTTTTTCTTATGCTTATAACTTGCGATAGATTTACAATATATCCATTTAGAAAAGGGTGAGTCATTGCCACATCCTAGCTAGCCTGTTGAAGATTGTACTGTTGCAATTATTCTAGTCTTTCATCTTATCATAACCGTGGGTTTCAGTTGCTAGAACCATTGGCTGAACTGCTTTTAATTTATGTCGTGAATTACTTTGTTGTGCTCACTACTTGTCTCCGTTTCTTCGGGCTAGAAATGAAATAAATTCATATAGACCTTTTCACTTTGGTTGAGATGTCACCCTCTTTATGATACAATGCTATTATTCACCAATCGTGGCTCCGGCAATGATTAGAGTTCTTTCTTCTGCTTATACTTCATGTGTTTTGCAATGATGAACTAATTAATCTGATGTATTGTGCATTTTAGGTAGTGGCCATTAAAAAGATCGACAATGCAGCACTATCACTGCAGGAAGAGGATAATTTTCTCGAAGCTGTTTCAAACATGTCACGTCTTAGGCATCCCAACATTATCGTATTGGTGGGATATTGTGCAGAGCATGGTCAGCGCCTACTAGTTTACGATTATATTGGAAATGGGAGCTTGCAAGATATGCTACATTTTGCTGATGAAAGGGGCAAGATGCTAACATGGAATGCACGTGTTAGAGTAGCACTTGGCACTGCTCGAGCTTTAGAGTATGTTATATGTGTACAAGATTAAGAGTTTTGAAGTCTCTCTCTTTGGGTTTGCTTTTCCGAACAAGGGTTTTAATTTTTATTTTTTTTGTCCATCTAGGTACTTGCATGAAGTGTGCCTGCCTTCTGTTGTACATAGAAACTTCAAGTCGGCAAATATTTTACTTGATGAAGAGCTCAATCCTCACTTGTCAGACTGTGGTTTAGCTGCTTTAACACCAAATACAGAGCGACAGGTAAATTGATGGCTCTGGCACTTCTTTTCCATATTGCTTTTGGCAGCTATGTGCTTTGTCTGAGAGTTTCTCTTGAACACATTTGTGCAAATGAAGAATTTTTTTGGAAAGGGTGGTAGAAGAGTCTTTTTCACACACATAATTCAGAATGCCAATGCAAAATCTAATGGCTTTACAATGTTTCAAAAACACATAACTGTATAATTATAGAATGATTCCTATTGGTCAAGTGGTATATGCCCTAATGTAACAAGGAATCATAGGCTTATGAGCATGGTGAGCAAGCTTTATTTACTTTTTCAGCGTGGCTGTGTGACTTCTTGTCTAAATGCTCTCTCTCTGTGCATGCCTTTTTCACGCATCCCTGTCAGGGGAACTCACCTCACCCTCTGAGGATGGCAGGGGACACTCCTAAAGCTAACAGCTTTTGGTTTCTTTCCACTGCATGTCTGTCTGACGATTTGTTCCATTGTTCCTATAATGCTTGACAGGTTTCATCAACCCAGATGGTTGGTTCATTTGGTTATAGTGCTCCTGAATTTGCCTTATCTGGAATATACACTGTAAAAAGTGACGTGTACAGCTTTGGGGTGGTGATGTTGGAGCTGTTGACTGGTCGGAAGCCACTGGATAGGTAAAAAAGACTATCATTGTTGATTGAATAGTGTTACATTCTTGATTCCTTGATGTTTTATTCAGCCACTGATGTTGGTTTGTTTGTGTCTCTCTCGGAACTCCTGATTATTACGTTCAGTTCAAGGGTGAGATCGGAACAGTCACTTGTAAGATGGGCTACCCCTCAACTCCATGATATAGATGCTTTAGCAAAAATGGTAGATCCTGCACTGGATGGCATGTATCCTGCAAAGTCTTTGTCACGTTTTGCCGACATCATTGCCCTCTGTGTTCAGGTAATGGTCTTTGTACGTATTAAGCTGAAAAGTTGCTTGACTTTTGATACAATGGGGAAAAGGTTCAGCTTTTGACAAACCATAACTTCGAGAACAAATTGATCTTGTGTTTTGTAACTTCTGCCATTGTATGTTTGCTTGAAATTTTAGATTTTTGAGACGGGTTGAGTTCTGATCAACTTTTAATGCAATCATGCTGAAGTTGCCCAGCAACTTTTCATAGTGGATGCAACCCAGTGAAGAATTTTGCATGATATTAAATCTGATTTCAGAATTTTGCTGATCTTGTGATAACTATGAGTCTGTGATAGATGCATTAAAATAAAATTGGTGTAGCATTTGAACTGCTTAAGTTCATCTGCTAGTAATCACATATGTCGAGCAAATGATATATTTGTGCAAAATGGTATGGTATCTGGCATTTTTTGGTTAGGAAAGAATAGCGCTTTAAGTCTAGAAACATTAAATCATATATTTTAAGGGATCATTTTGAAATGGATAGAAAAATGAGGATGGCTGATAAATGTTCCTTTTCTTTAAGTTAAAGTAGAAGCACATGCACACACCAACTCATCTTACAACAGACTTTTTACATTTATGAATTGAACTCTTCTTTCTTTTTTTTTTTTCTTTTTTTTTTTTTTTTTTTTTTTTTTTTTTAAGAAAAGAAAAATATTGAAGATATAGCAAATGATTTGTTAGAGCTTCGTGAGATTTTTAGGTCAGCTTTAAGATTTTTTTATTTTCAACTTCTTCCAATGCAGGCATGTATGTGTGCACCTGTACATTTGCCTACTTTTCTTAGTTTGTCACCTTCTTTTGCTGAACATATCACTCCTCAAAATGGATTATTGTATGATTTTTATCTTCCTATGCAGCCTGAACCAGAGTTTCGGCCTCCCATGTCTGAAGTTGTGCAAGCACTGGTTCGGTTAATGCAAAGGGCGAGCGTGGTGAAAAGGCGATCCAGTGATGAATCAGTTTTTATGTACAAGACTCCAGATCATGAGGCAACTGACTTGTAATACCAGATTACCTGAACTAGCCATAGCTATTGAGGCCTTCGCGATTTTTTGTATACAATTACGCGAAGGTCTGGGAGTGATTAAAGTGCACAAGAATCAGAGGAAAATTTATGAAAGCAATGATCAGTATCAGATCAAAGGATGTGTAATTATGTCTCTTACAATTTCTGTCATGGCACGCTGCTTTGCAGTGCGAGTTGAGGTGAATATTTTTTTTCTGAAGGTGACACTATTGTATTTACAACCATCATTGAATTTTATTTATTATGTCCAAAGGCATTGGCTGTGTAATAAAACCTTCCTGTGATCAAAATGAATTTCTGTGAATTACCTTATCAGTATTTGTCTGTCAAGGCCGAGGATCACCGGTTGCCTTCTTTCTTATCTTTTTGTTTTGCAACTCTTCTCTGCCACATGGTTCGACGTGATAGTGAGTATTTGGGACAGGGAAAAAAGGACAAAGGATCTGTACTCTGTACTCGTCTACCAAATCAACTTCAAGCATGAGTTGGACAAGCTAATACTCAAAAGCTTCTTTGATACTGGAAAGAAAAGAAATGCATTGTGAAGGGGGTCATTCTGAGCAAGTGAAGCCAGACTGGACCGAGCAACTATTCGATCCCCGCATGGACTAGGCCGAGTGCCTGCATGACCGAGCCTCAGATCACTTTCGATGATCTAGGGCCAGACATCTAGGATTGGGCCTTGGAGTGCAAATAAGCTCTGGAGTGGGGGCAAGACAGTACTGAGGTGGAGCTGGGCCAAGTGTCCTAGCAGCTTAGAGCTAGTCTAGAACAAATTGAGGCCTTGCTCAGTCGACCCTGCTTGGGGCACATGGGGTCCTTTTACTTTAGGCACGTTGATGACCTGAGTAGGAGGCACCTGAGGCGGTTACCCTCGTGGATTGTGGAAGCGCTAAAAAAGTTAATCTTTGTGGTTTTTGAAGGGCATAATTTTAATTTTTTTTTAACATTCTTTTATGCTATGTTTGGTTGAGAAATTTAAAGAAAGATTTGGAAAGGGAAAGGGAAAGGGAAAGGGAAAGAATAATGATACATCCCTCTAATTTTAGAGCTCTAATTGACCTCTAATGATGTGGCAGAGAATAAAAAAAATAAAACTAAGGCCAAAATATCACATCACAGTGGGATCTACTCTCATATCTCATTTGAGCTCTTTTATTAGAGTTCCCAATCATTTTAATTGAGCTCTAATGATGTGGCAGAAAATAAAAAAAATAAAACTAAGGCCAAAATATCACATCACAGTGGGATCTACTCTCATCAGATCTCATTTGAGCTATTTTATTAGAGTTCCCAATCATTTTTCAAAGGAAAAAGGGGTGTGAAATTAAATAAACGGTAGATATATTTTATTCACATTTCACTTATTCTTTTCATTTTTTTTTCTTCAAATTCTTTCTTAAAACCTCCAACCGCGCACAACATTACTCTTCATATCTCTACCCGAATTCTTGACTTTAGCATTGGAGGGATATCTTCAGCCAAACCTCGGCGGGGTTACATCTACAGTATTTTGTGCCTTGCAAGTCATGATTGTTATACATCACTTGGATCACTTGAGAAGTTTCGATTTTACTAGTGCAAAAATGGCGTGATCAAAGTTGAACTTGCTGCATAACAAAATAAGGAAAATGAGTGAGAGCACTAATTAGTGCTATCATTAATGATGTGATAGTGTCTTGACTTTAGCATTGGAGGGATATCTTCAGCCAAACCTCGGCGGGGTTACATCTACAGTATTTTGTGCCTTGCAAGTCATGATTGTTATACATCACTTGGATCACTTGAGAAGTTTCGATTTTACTAGTGCAAAAATGGCGTGATCAAAGTTGAACTTGTTGCATAAAAAAATAAGGAAAATGAGTGAGAGCACTAATTAGTGCTATCACTAATGATGTAACAGTGGGCCCAACCAGGAATGATTTGATGTTTTGACCTTGGTGTTGTATTTTTTTTCTTTTTTTATTGATTGCCATGTCATTAGTGGTGTTGTTAGAGTTCCAAAATTAGTAGTCTCTATCATTGTTGAAAAAATAATAATAAATATGTCGAACTTGAAAATTGTTCAAAAGAAAGTTGAACTTGAAAAAGATGTGGAAGGATTACAATATAATAATATGACAACTTTAGCAGATCAGACCACGCTGTGCCACGTGAGTTGCTTACTTTTATGGTGAAATGAACTTGTGACTCCAATATGTGTTTTTATTTTTATTTTTATTTATTTATTACTTATTCAGAACAAAATTAAATTAGTTAGATAACTTGAGAGTGTTTACAGTACTCATGGTTCTATCACCCGTTTTAATGATTTAAACAATTTATGTTGTTAGGTTGTTTGTATATATCATGTACTTAAAAAAAATTAAATTAATTTAATAATCTTAATATTTTTATTTTATTATATTTATTTCAAAAAAGAAATAATCTATTTTTATGTTATCATCCGTTTTTTAAGAAACAGATGATAATATAATTAAAATTTTAATGAAATCTAATATAATTATGCTAAAATTATAGAATTTATTATATAAAAAAATATCAAATCAATAATATTTTAAAAAATAATTAGAGATCAGCGATAAATTTTATAAATATTAATAATTACAATTTTAAATTCTAAATTTTTTCATGAATTTATAATTTTTTAAATTCTTTTTTTTGGGTAGATTATGCGCACTAATTTTTTCTTTCAAACCCTATTATTAATATAATTTTATATTTTACCTTAACTTTGACCTATATGCTCTTATAATTTATCCTACCCTATTAATACTTTCTCAAATATTTTTTTTATTAAAATAAAAATTAAACAAATGCAATGAGGTTGGGTATTATTAAAATAACAATATTACAAACTTTTCCTTATCAATTCAGAACTTACTTAGAAAAAAATTAATAATTCAAATTCATTTTATTCATAAGCCTCGTACTTCATCCATTTAATATGAACAAATTTACAATGTGTACCCTTTCAAATGATACACATTGTAAAAAAATTTATGATTTTTTATGATGAATGATATGATTGTTAGTAATGTGTGTTATGATATTTTGTAATAAAATTATAAATAATAAATTTATTATGTACATCCTAAATAAATAGCAAATTTATGATGTGTGTTATGATTTTTTTTTTATTAAAATAAAAGTAAAACAAATGCAATCAGGTTGGGTATTATTAAACAACCCCGGTTGGTAGCTCGAAATTCGTGGGTCGAATTTGGCTAGATACCAAAATGACGTCGTTTTGGTGTCTGTTTTCTTTTTCTTTTTTTTTTCTTTTTCTTTTTTTTCTTCCTGCGTTTAATCAGAAACGAAGAAGAGTGGAGAAGAAGAAGAAGAAGAAGAAGAAGGGAAGGGAGGAAAAGAAGAAGGGAAGGGAGGAGGGAGGAGGAGGAGGACTGGAGGGGGCCCAATTATTAGGGCTGAAGGAGGAGGCGGGGGGCGGAGGCGATGAGCTATGAAGCTGCGACGAGAACGACAGGCGGAGGCGGCGGAGGCGACGAGCTCCTCGTGGCGGAGGCGACGAGCTCCTCATGACGGAGGCACAAGAGGGCTGCAACGAGGATAGCGAGGCGACGAGGCGACGGGGTCAGCAGAACCAGCACTCGCCGTCTCCCTCTTTTCGAATTCAACCCAAATTCAACTCACGAATTTCGAGCATCCACCCATTTTTTATTATCAAAACATCAACATTACACACTTATCAATATCAGCTCAAACGACGTCGTTTTGGTGTCTTTTTTTTTTTTTTTTTTTTTTTTCCTGTGTTTAATCAGAAACGAAGAAGAGGGGAGAAGAAGAAGAAGAAGAAGAAGAAGAGGAGGAGAAGGGAGAAGAAGAAGGGAAGGGAGGAGGAGGAGGAGGACTGGAGGGGGCCCAATTATTAGGGCTGAAGGCGGAAGCGGGGGGCGGAGGCGACGAGCTACGAAGCTGCGACGAGGACGGTGGGCGGAGGCGACGAGCTCCTCGCGGCGGAGGCACAAGAGGGCTGCAACGAGGATAGCGAGGCGACGAGGCGACGGCGTCAGCAGAACCAGCACCCGCCGTCTCCCTCTCTTCGAATTCGACCCAAATTCGACTCACAAATTTTGAGCATCCACCCATTTTTTATTATCAAAACATCAACATTACACACTTATCAATATCAGCTCAAAATTTATTTTAAAAAAAATCAATAATTCAAATCCATTTTACACGTAAACCTCATATTTCAACAATTTAATATACAACAAAGTTGATACCATTTTTCTTATTAAAATCAAATTGAAACCGTTTGGATAAACTCCAAAATTTATGAGCGGACATCCCACCCCAAGATCTAGCTCTTCAATCGCTTTCGTTGTCCTAAAGCAAAGTGTGTTAAAATGGCTTGTTAAATTCCTTTCTTCTCAATTTCTAAATACATACATGTACATATATATACACACACACACATACATACATACATACATACATACATACATACAAAGCTGGTGAGCTATGGCTTCCATTGATGAAGAAGAGCAAAGTGGAGCTGAAATTAGGGTTTCCGATCAGACAAACGGATGGCCGACTTCCTTCCACGCTCGGCCCCCTTCCTCTGCCGCATCCGGCGGCGCCGCCACCCCTCCCCGGAGCTGGCAAATCTCTCCGAGGAATTCTTTCGGATCGTTACCTTCTCGCTCTTCCAGGAATTCGTATTCTTGTTCTTGGTTTGGAGTTTTGGAATGGTTAGGGTTTGTGACCGAATCGAAACAACGAGGATGGGTGAAGAGGAAAGCTGTGAAGAAGCGAGTGAAAGGCGTTGTGGTGGTTGTGATTGTGTTGTTGGCTTGTTTTGTGGTGATGGATTGGTGGATGCTTTCGCGGATTCAAGAATCGAGTCACGGTCTCAAATTCAAATACAAGGTCTTGAGAGCCAACTCTTCTACATTGTCTATTCGGGTATGTTTTAATTCAATTCCAAGTTCAAATCTAGTAAATTTAACATTTTTTGGTTGATTTTGGGGAAAAAAAATTTAAATAAATAAAAAAAGAAGTAAGAAACTTGAATTCTCAGTAAAATTTGCCTAATATATATGGCCACAACATTAATTTGTATGAGATGGAACAATTACTGGGTATGACTTTTATCTTGATCTCCAGCATAGGTTAAAAATGAAAATTAAAAATAAACATCAGGGATAGGGGTGCAGTGAGTTGGGCCAGTGCAGGCCTGCAGATTTTAGTTCATTTCATATGGCTTAAATCATCTAATTTTGTGTTGTTCCAATCTTGTGGACTTTCATATCTTGGTTTGATTTTCTTCCTAAGAAATGTTCATTATACCCGATTAACATGAGTACCATTTCTTCCTTGCACCTGTAGTATTCTGTTTTCTAACTTGAAGGATTTCCGCTTTCTCCTTTTAATTACATTTGTGTTTGGGCAGTTGGGTAAGAGTGTTAAATTAACGAGCTTTGGATTTGTTAGCTCACAAACCGAGTCTTTAGTTTCTAATTTATGGTCTTCTGGAAATTGTTACAGGAAGAATTGGAAAAGCTTGGTAAAGTGAAGAAGCCACAGAAAACTATTTATGCAAGACTGTTAGCTAAGGCTGCACATGCCTTAGCAGAGGTAGGCATTTATCTTAACACTCTGTTTGTCTACATTTTATTCTTATAATTGATGGGTTAGAGTCAATTCACTCACTATCTTTCCTATAATTTTTTGTAACGCACAGGGACAGAATAAACCTGAGCCTAGAGATCTGTGGCAGGAACCGTTTATCCTTGCATCTTCATGGAGGCCTTGTGCTGACCAACGTAACTGGGAACCTAGTGGTGACTCTCTCCCCCTCCCTCCCTGTGTGTGTGTAAATGTTCCATGACTCAGCTGATTATTTTATGTTGTGTGTCATACATTGTCAGAGGGAAATAATGGATACATTCTGGTTAGTGCAAATGGTGGGATAAACCAGCAGCGAGTAGCTGTAAGTTACGTCTGTGATTGAAATTCCTGCGTTAATGGCTTATTCTCCCAAAGCTTTAATTCTATTGAGTAATGAGAATTGTGTGTTGTACATGATATCAAATTGAATGCTTTTTTGAACAACAGGTCTGCAATGCGGTTGCGGTTGCTAGATTGCTTAATGCAACTCTTGTTGTTCCCCATTTATTGTACAGTAGTGTCTGGAGAGATCTGAGGTGATGTATTACTTTCTGTTTGGCATTCTGTCCTTACTTATTTGGACCTGTCTGTATCTTAATGATGTACTGTAATGGTCCACTGCCCTTTGAACAGTTAGGCCACTGATGGTCATAAGGGCTTTGCACTATAAATGTTTCAATTTTCATTTGTGCTTCGTTAATTACTCTGGGTTCCTATGATGTTCATGCAGTAAACACCTTCTCTTCACATGATTAAGGAAATTTATCGTTTTTCTTTTTTTAATGGGGTTATATGTTATATAGTAACAAATTTCTGTTTTGCTTCTGCATTATTTTCATTGTGCTCTAGAAATGCTTAATATTTTCCAGATTAATTTAGTCATGTTCACGTGCCATGAGTATCGCCCAGATTTTGATTACTTGACTAATTTGTGTATGTTTCTTCTTGTGTCAATCAGTTTTTTTCTTTAATATACTGTTTATCATATGTGATGAGTTGAGTTGTTTCACGGATTGGGCACCTTTACATGAATCCTATGCTTTGAAATTGTCTGCCGAATGCTTCTAGTATGCTTTTTGTAATTTTTAATTATGGCCTTGCAGATTATACAAGTTAATTTTAGTTTCACATTGATTTGCATCTTCATGTGAATTGGATGTGCTTCATGAGCTGGTTATTGAGTATTGCCACTGTGAACTATAAGCTAAATGATAATACTAACTGAAAGAATACCAATTTGTTTGTCTGTTGAAGATTGAGTAGTTGTCTGAGTTCTTTTTCATGGCACAACCATTTTATCCTCTTATCACTCTTTTAAATGGAAAAATGACTGTAAAATTCTATAATTTCTTAGTCAATTCGGCGATATCTATCAGGAGAAGCACTTCATCAACTACTTGAAACCTGATATTCGAATAGTGAAGGAACTTCCTCTGGAGCTACAGTCATTAGATCTGGAGGCAATTGGTAGTGTGGTCAGATTCTTACCTCAGTTCTATTTGAGAAGTTGTTTTAATGCAGTACTTCACTGCTTAATATCACGTATTTTGTATTAATAGATGAATTTCTGTTTCAGGTGACTGATGCTGACATCATGAAAGAAGCCAAGCCAAGTTTTTACTTGAAATACATTCTTCCCATCTTACATAGACACAGAGTTGTTCATTTTGTTGGATTTGGAAACCGTCTGTCATCGGACCCACTACCATTTCAATTGCAGGTAAATCTCTATACTTCGACATGTTAATCCATTGCTAGCTTTAAGAGAAGTTTAGCCATGGCTTTATCAACTTTACAGGTTACTTCATTCTTAATTTGATAATATTCGTCTTTTCTACCTTGCTTCCTAATTGTGGGACTTCATCTAGAGACTCCGGTGCAGATGTAATTTTTATGCCCTGCAATTTGTTCCCAAAATACAAGAAACTGGTGCTTTAATGCTCCGAAGGATGCGTCAGAATGGAACACACTTTGGACCATTAGATCATTACCTTGTAGGTCCATTTGCAGAATCAAAAGTGAAGGGTAAAAGTGATCGTTCCATGAAAGGATCCAGATACTTAGCTTTGCACCTGAGGTTTGAAATTGACATGGCAGCTCATTCTTTGTGTGATTTTGGTGGTGGAGAAGAAGAAAGACGAGAATTGGAAGCATACCGTGAGATCCATTTCCCTGCATTGACAGCGCTAAAGAAGACAACAAAGTATGCATCATTTTGTCTCTGTCAAGTCTTTACTCTTTTGTGTACACATATGTATGAATTTTTACTGGCTTACACTCAGAAAGGACACAAATTTAAATGATAATAAAAAATAAAAAAATAGTAGTAGACACCCTCTTTTATTGGGGGATAGTAGAATCTGCTTGCAATAAACTATCATGGATTGAGTTTTGATGTGAACATGGTAGAGTTGAGAGCTGTGTTACCTGGAACTTGGATGGGTCCGGTACATGGAACAAGCTCAACCACATGCTCTAAAATGTGGTACAATAAGAATAGACTTTTATCGACAAAACCTAGAAACTGGACTGATCTGTATCTCACATTTTTTATGCATTACAGTTTTGGAATATGGAGCATTGATCTCGCATTTAATTCTGCTTTCTCCTTTCGGGGTTGCAGGTTACCATCTCCAGTGGCACTTAGAGCAGAAGGATTATGTCCACTAATGCCTGAAGAAACACTACTTATGCTTGCTGCCCTTGGTTTCAACCGTAAGACACGCATCTTTCTTGCAGGTGCACATATTTACGGAGGGAAGTCACGGTTGGCTGTCTTGACAAGCTTGTATCCTAACTTGGTCACTAAAGAGAACTTGCTTTCCTCGTCCGAAATTGAACCATTCACAAATTTCTCTTCTCAGGTAATATTCAGTATTTCCTTTTGGTGAGTTTGTTTGTGGCATTGTTATTTTTTACTTAATTAGCTTCCTGTCAGTTTTGTTAACTATAGGTTAGAATCTTTGTTATGTACTAAACTAAACCAAATCAAACCAAACCAAACCAAGAAAAACCTTAAGTCCCATCAAATGGGGTTAGCTCTTAGTTGCAGGAATCGTGCAACCTGATGACGATTCGGAGTCAGAATCGCGATTCCGCGCTTCCTAGAAAGAAACGTGTAGGAATCGTGTTTCTGTGGAGACAGAAACGCGATCCAGTCCAAGATGGGATCGCAAGGGGGAGAGAGAGAGAAACCTGAACTTGCTGCTACCTTCTCCTTCGACATCGCCTGGGCCTTCGAGATCGACCTTCGACATCGCCTGGACCTTCGATCTGCTCCTGACCTTCGATCTGCTCTCGCAATCTACTCGCGATCGATCTTCTCCACATCGCCATCGCCATCGCCATCGCCATCGCCTTCTCCACATCGCCTTCACCATCGCCATCGCGATCGATCTCGCCTTCGAGCAGCTCGCCTCCTTCTGCTTCTTCTTCTTCTTCTCTCTCTCTCTCTCTCTCTTCGATCTGTGCTGCTGCCGTTTCTAACATATAATAAATATAATAAATAATATAATTTGTTATATAATAATATAATAGATAATATACTTTATTATATAAATAATATAATTTGTTATATAATAATATAATAAATCTAATTAAATCAAATATAATAAAAAAAATCTAATAAGATTTATAAAATAAATTATTATTTTACTATTTTTTATTACTTTACTGTTTTTTAACATATTTTATTATTTTACTGTTTTTTATTTATAATATATATCAATTAAAAATTAAAAAATATATATATAAACAAATTAAAAATATTATCTATAAAAATAATATCTAAGATAAAAATAATAAATATATTTAAAAATAATTATTTAACTCACCTTTATATAATAAATATATTTTAGAAATAACTATTAAAAATATATATATATTATCGCTTCCCGAGGCGCTCCCAACCTAAGAAACTTCTATCCGCTCACGCTTCCCCGCTCCCGCTCCCGCTCCCGCTCCGTGCAACTAAGGGTTAGCTACATGAATCCTTCTTTTCCAAGCGGCCCTATCAAAGGCCAGTTCATTATTCAAATTAAGTAGATCCATATATCTATTTACAACGCTAGCTAACGTTAATCTAGGCCTGCCCTGTCCCCTAACACTTCTATCTACCGTTACAGTATCGCATCTCTTCACTACTGCCTTTATTGGTCTTCGTTGAATATGACCAAACCAAACCATCTCAATCGATTCTCTCTCAACTTATCTTCTATCGGTGCTACTTCTATCTATTCTCGAATACACTCATTCCTAATTATATCTTATCTAGTTTTGCCACACATCCACCTTAGCATCCTCATCTCAGCCACATTCATCTTGTCTACATGTTGTTTTTTGGTTTCCTAACATTCCGTCCCATACAACATCGCTGGTCTAATAGTCGTTCCATAGAACTTATCTTTTAGTCTAGTGGGTATTCGTTTATCGCACAGTACCACAGATGCATTTCTCCACTTACACCATCCCGCCTTAATCCTATAGGCCACATCCACGTCAATCTCCCCTACTATTGTGATAATCGACCCTAAATAACGAAAATGTCCACTCTTAAGCAGTTTTTGGTTCTCAATCTTCACTACTCCTCTGCTTTCATTGTTACTGTTACTATATTTACACTTTATGTACTTTATCTTAGTTCTGCTTATTCGGAATCCTTTAGATTCAAGAGTGTTTTTCCAAATCTCAAACTTTGTATTAACTCCTTCTCTAGTCTCATCCACTAGCACGATATCGTCTGCAAAAAGCATACACCATGGCACATTATCCTGAATATTTCTCGTCAACTCATCCATAACTAAAGAAAAAAGATAAGGATTTAAGGTAGATCCTTGATGTATCCCTCCAGTGATGGGAAATTCATTTGTCTTTCCAGCAAGCGATCTAATAGTGGTCACTACCCCTTCATACATGTCCCTAATCACGTCCATGTAATCTTTTATCATCCCTTTCTTCCCTAACACTCACCATATTATATCTCAGGGCACTCTATCATATGCTTTTTTAAGGTCGATAAACACCAGATGAAAGTTTCTTTTCTTTTCTCTATACTTTTCTATTATTCTCCTCAAAAGATAGACTGTTTCCATTGTTGACCTGCCAGGCATAAATCCAAATTGATTCTCTGACACCTCTGTTATATCTCGCAATCGGCGTTCCATCACCCTCTCCTACACTTTCATTATATGACACATTAGCTTGATTTCTCTATAATTGTTGTAATTTTGGACATCTCCTTTATTCTTATAGATTGGCACTAAAATACTCTTCATCCACTCATCTGGCATATTTCTAGTCAACAAAATTTTGCTAAATAACTTAGTCAACCAAGCAATTCCCGTTTTACCCAAACACTTCTAAGCTTCAATAGGGATATCATCGGGTCTTAAAGCCTTCGGACATTATTTGAATTTGTCCCCAACCAGAAGATAAAAACAAAAACTTAAACAAATAGTGATTTATAAAAATTGTTGTTGATGTATCTGCAGTTAGCAGCATTGGACTTCATCGCTAGCACAGCTGCCGATGTATTTGCCATGACGGACTCGGGAAGTCAATTGTCATCGTTGGTGTCGGGATTTAGAGTATATTATGGTGGGGGGAAAATGCCATCGATTCGGCCAAACAAACGCCGTCTTGCAGACATCTTCGTGAAGAACAACACAATTGAGTGGAAGGTGTTTGAGAAGCGAGTTAGAAAAGCAGTAAGACAAACTAAACGTGTCCGTGCACGGCCCGTTGGACGGAGCGTTTACAGGTATCCGCGGTGCAAGGAGTGTATGTGCACTACAGAAGAAGAGGAGTAGTGTTGTGATTATACATGTCTCATAGATCTTGATTTGAGATTTTTTGCCAATATCACATGTAACATTCATTGTTGTTGTACTGATATGGAGTATAGTGTGGTTATACATGTATCCATTCTTTGTTGTTGTTTCATCGATTTTGATTCTGGCTCATTTGCCAATCACATGTAACATTCATTGTTGTTGTACTAATATGGGTTCTAATATATGATAAAAAGGAAGATTTTTCATTTTTCTTTATATTCATTGAAAGCAATCTCTCTTCTTTTTTTTTCTCCGGAGTTTTCTTGTGCTGATAATGTGAATGTTGCTCTGTGTTGGTTAGTAGTCCCTAGCTCAGGAAGTGACAACAATACTATGTCCACACTCATGATAGTTTGTGTCTATTATTGATGAGCAAATATTGGATATAAAGGTAATATTATACAGTCATGTCACTAATTAATGAAAATTCTCATATTGCAATAGTGATATGATATATATATATATATGATTGGATAAGTGGGAGATAAAGAATGTCTATCTGATTTCATTTGTGATATTTTATTGATTGGTGACATCACATAAGGCTATTTATTCATCAATGACAAATGTGTTTCACTATTCACTCTTTGGAAGGTTAATTCATTATAATACACATTGCATTTGCAAAGTTGGAAACAAATTATTTGGTGAATCATTTCCAAAAACTATTTTTGAAAACAACTTACTACTTTTTAGAAAAGGGCAACAAGTTGTTTTGATTTTCAATGATGATCTTGTACAAAAATGAAAACTGTATGGAAATGATGATTGTTTTTTTATCCTTTCATTATTTTTATTTTTAAAAACACAAAAAACAAAAACAAAACAAAGAAAATGAATACAAAATCCACAGACCCCTATTTTTGAGAATAGAGAAGAAATTTTAACAAGAATATGGTCAATGGTTGCTTCACAGTATTCTCTCTCTCTCTCTCTCTCTCTCTCTCTCTCTCTCTCTCTCTCCATTACAGAGTATACATAGGTGTAACAAAAACTACCATCAACTGGGAGGCAATTAAGAACCTTCTTTTTTTTTTTTGCATATGGTTACTAAACATGTTCTGTTTAATAGTGGCTCTGTCTCCAAGCTTTTGAGTATATATGCTATTATTTCCCTCATTTTCAGGACATCGAAACCGGCCAAACCGACAATGTTATTGTGACAATGTGATTCAAATTCCCAGTCAACACAATCTCCCCAAACCTGAAACCATCTTGTGGTTTTGTCACATTGAGTTCTATCCCCAACTCTTGACTTCCCTGTGGAGCAATTGTGAACCATGATGGATTCAATTTCACTGTCACCCCCTCTGGCACTAGCACCGCGCAGAGGTATGTCTCTGGCTTGGTTCCTACGTTCTTGACGATTCGTCTGACTAATCGGAAACCGCTGAGTGATGAGATAGTGACTGAAGGGGTGTTCAGATCAGATGGGTTGGCAAAGGGGGTGTTGCATGATCTGCCAGTTGCTGTCTTGATTTTTGATGGATCAGTGTTTGGAAGAGAGCACAAGAAGTTGATGTAGTCCTCGTATTCTGTATATGTATAGCATGATATTGGTGAAAAGTGTAAGAAAGTTTTTGCAACTCATATATGATTGTTTGTTTTCAATTTTTTGCAAAAATCACAAGGAATGGTTTGTCCTTAGTAGGATTGTTTTTGGATGAATGAGAATAGAGATGATCCATTTTTTACCGTCTATTTACAATGAGGTTGGAGCTCACATTATGATGATTGTGTGAGCCCCATTCCTATTGTGATATAGAAAAATGGTATGCTTGTAGTAAGACTATTTTTGGATCTCATTTCTCTTTGGTTAGAGAAAAGTTTCAGTTGAGCCTGTGAAGCACACAATAATTCTTACTCCAATAATCTGAAAAAATAGATTTACCTAATAATCATAATTATATAATTTCATTAGAATGTCATCAAAAAAAATAAACAAGCATGATTTTAAAATAAAATTGATGAAATTATATTTTTAATATAAAAAATTATATTTTATTCATATAAAATAAAAAATAAAAAAAATTGATGAAATTATATGACTACAATTATTGAATCAAACTAGATTTTTTAATAGATAATCTATACACAGCATCCTAAAAAATAAATGGTTAAAATCACCAAAATAAGATCCATGTTAACCTCACACACTTAACTTGACTACAACTATAGAGAAGCCATATATATATATATATTTAATGAAAATAGCTAGTTGTTATCCCTTTTCTAACAATTTTCTCATAAATTTTTTTTTCATCAAATACATACAAGAAATTAAATTAAATTAACCATGAATTGCAATTTATTTACCTGATGGAAAGACCAGTCCCGGATCCATAGCCTTGGCAGGGTTGACAAGACCCGACCCGAAATCAAAAGGAGTTGAAGGATATAAGCTATAGATATCCGATCCTTGGGCCAATATGGGATCTCCATTAATGTCATACTTAGTAGCAGTGGTTGAGATTGCTGAAGCTATCATAGATGGGGTCCAACTAGGGTTCTTTTGCTTGATGAGAGCTGCTATACCAGCTATATGAGGTGTTGCCATGCTTGTACCAGACAACAATGCAAAATTGTCACCTAAAACACACATTAGTAAGCTTAATGGTTCGAAATTGCATGCAACATAAGTCAAACAACAATGTTACAAACATTAACAAGTGAATCAATAAATCTATCAACTTAATATAATATTAAGAGAGTCCCATCAAATAGTGGATGTCATATACATGTATGGTGTTTTTATTAATATACTAGTTAGTGTTTTTGGCAATACTAGACATGATAAAATAATCAAAAGAGTATAACGTCTCTCCAATTAATTTTTTTTGGACATTTGTCTACAATGGGCCTCAAAGGTCTACCATGAGCTTAGCTCAAATGATTTGATTTATTCTTTTTGTACGCCTATGTGTGTAAATTATCTATAAAAAAAGATTGATTTAATAATTATAAAAATAAAAATTCAAAAAAGAACGGTAAGAATGATATTGAAAACAAATCGATTTAAAAAAGAAAAGAAAAGAAAGACAAATACAACAAAATAATATGATTACAATATCAAATCAATTTGATTTTTTTTTTTTTAATGAATGATCTACACATAAAGACTCACACAATGAACACCCAACTAGATAGTCCAATCTCCAAAATTAAACTAGAGAGAAAACTATGATGTAATCAAAACCCTATTCTACTCAGAATTTGAAATATGTGAATTAAATTCATTTTAAGTATAACATTCATCACATCAAATTTAAATGAATAAATTATAGTGACCTCTCCTAAAGTTAAAAAAAATACAATAAGTCCCATAATTTTGATACAATTACATCATTTTTTTTTTATTTTTTATTTTTGTAAATCTAAATGAATTAGAATTAATGCAAATGGTGTGAAGATACAAAATAATCAAAATAAAATATATATTTCAATGAAAAATAAATGACGTCATTTTTTCATCTATATGACTAACAAATTATTGATGGAAATAAAATTAAATATATATTATGTAAATTAAAACTTCAAGAAAACTCAATATAATTATGTCAAAACTGTAACTCTTACTATATTTTTTCTAATTCTCATGAAAAGCCAGTGTAATTTACCCAATTTAAAATTTGAACTATAGTATCAAATTTTATGCATTTTTCAAAGCACCCAACATTTCCAACTTACCGAGGAGGATGGGATCCAAAACACTGAAGGGGCTCCAAGCTGCCCAAATTTGGTGACCAGGAGCCAAAATATCAGGCTTGAGAACATCAGTAGGAGTCCTATTGAGGTCAATGAAGTCAGGCCCTCTTGAAGAGAATCTACTTACAATTGGGGCTCTTCCTCCCATGTATGAAGCAACTCTTCCATCACCTATGGCTGCTCTCCCACCATATCTGGTTACAATCCCCCTTTTGTCCCTCCATGTTTGCTGTTCATAGTACTGTGATATAATCTACCACACAAAAAAATATGGTTAATTTTGTTTCAAAATTTGTGTCTAAGGTTTGTTCAAAACAAATGGACTAGTTATACTTTTGTCTCTAATTTTGTTAATTTTGTTCTTAAATCAAAAATGTGAGTTTAAATGGTTATTAGCACTCACGCTACTTAAATCGATTAATATTTTCAGAGTGGACTAGATATTGTTGTTGGAGTTCATAGAACTTATAGTGTGTCTCACTTTGACGATTTAAATCATTCATTTTGTAAAATTTAATTTGAAGATCATCGATGAATTTTTTTTTTTTGGATTGATTCTATAATCATACCCAAGTTATTTTATTCTATTTGTCTTCAAAATATAAATCAAACAATTCTAATTTTAAAAATAGACTAATTATTTTTTTGAATATAAATATAATATAATAAAATCATATAATTAGGATTATTTGATCAGATTTTTTTTTTCATGAATGAGCTATGGATAGAATCCAATAAAATAAAAATTATTTGAATTATTAAAATGAAGCTTGTGATAACCCATGGGTTCCAATAACAGATTAGAGAGAATCCTCACCGTTTTTAGGATTTTACCTGAAACTTCAATAAAATCAAATTAATCAAAATATTTCTTTTTTTTAATAAAAGATTAGAGAGAATCCTCACCCTTTTTAGGATTTTGCATTTTGTTTCCAAGCTTTTTATCTTGTCATTTTTCTTTTCTTTTTTTTTATATTTAATTTGTGAAATTCTAAAAGCACCTAACTCGAGGGGTAAGCATGGTCTGGATTGATTTGATTTGGGATAAAATCAGGACTAATTTGTTATCTACGATTCCATAAAAATTGGAACCAAACAAATTTATATTAATCATGTAACCAAACCATTTAAATACGGTTCGGCTCGATTTAGAACTACAATTTCACATAATATATAATCACATAACATTTTTATTTCAATACTAATCTACCCATCATTTTTCGTAACATAAATATACATATTGTTCTACCATTAATTTAAACAAACATAATATCAAGTAAATAAATATATTAGCAAGCATAAAACTCTCATCAAACAAATATTTTGTTTGTGATAACAATAATTACAAAACTATAATTAAAAACAGCAACAAAAATAGCACTGTTTGACAATGTGTATGGTATATATATGGTTTAAATAATATACAGTCTGAATTGGTTCTAATTCTGAATCAACCTATTCAGAAAAAATAATTTCTCAAATTTTCAAACTAGAACCGAATTACAGATTTAAAAAATCAAACTAAACCTACCAAATTGGATTAAACCAGTTTAATTTTTACGATTCTTTTAATTGCTCAGCCCTACCTAACTCTTGTCAATCAAGACAATTTGGGATTTAGTTTTGGCAAGAACTTGTAGAAAAAGTAAAAATGAATAAAAAAAGGACAAAAATGTAAGTTAATTTTTTTTGGTAAACTATAAATATACCCTTGAAATTTGCTTAAAATACAATTTACTCACTATAATTCTAAAAATTGTATCCCGCTCCATTAAATTTTTATTTTCATAACAAATGGGTCATTTTATTAGTAAATTATCAAGTTAATTAATAATTTTTAATAATGTCATAAATTTATTTCAATTAATAATTCAGGTAATTTTATCATTGTATATGACAATAGTTAGGAATTTAATTTTTTTTTAATTAATTCTGTCAAATAAAAAATTTTGACGAGATATTTAGAATTTTTCAAACTACAGAAAACAATCCATATTTTGAGCAAATTTTAATATATATATATATATATATATATATAGGGCAAATTACATATACCTCCCTTGAGGTTTGGCTAAATTACAGATACCCCCTGAGGTTTCAGAAATTACATCCTGCCCCTGAGGTTTGTATTTTCATAACAATTTACCCCCTGAGGTTTAAATTTCATAACAAATTACCCCCTAATTTGTTATGCAAATATAGCATTCAGGGAGAAATTTGTAATTTAGCCAAACCTCGAGGGGGTGTATGTAATTTGTATATATATATATTTCTCAATATAATTATTTTCTATCCCCAAATCTCCATTCAGATCGAAGATCAAAACACAGCTAATTAGTCCAAAACAAACTAACATTCTTCTCTGTTGCAAAAACACTTACCCGTGCATCGCTGGTTCTTGGGATCATGATTCCAGGAACAGATAATGGAATTGGCTCTGCAATGAAATCACCAAATGCTGGGTTTGCAACTAACACAAAACCCATGAATCCAAGAGTCCTTGCTGTGTCGATAATGGCTGTGACTGAAGAAGTTCCATTGTAAAACCCATCTGAGAAAGTGCAGATTACAACACTCCCTAGCACTACAAATGGATCAAGTGCCTCGGGGTATTGACACTCTTCTATGTATGGTGCTGTTTTTGGGAATGAGTGGTCTGCCCTAACTGCATCTCTAGCTAAGACCAGCTTGTATTGCAGTAAGCCATTTCCAAAACTTGGTCCTAAGCAACGATAACATAATCAGCTTAGGAAATCTAAGGTGCAGTTTGTTTAAGGAAATCTTAGTAGAAGGTGGATGATGATTTCTGTAAAGTTGTGGGGTTCTTGTATTTTCTTCAAATTTTAAGAGAAATCAATGTAATTTATCCAAAAGAGTAATTGCAGAACACAAAAATCGGTAATAAAACAAGATACGGACTATGTTTGATTGTTCAAATTAGATATAAGAGGGTAAAGAGTATATGTAATACTTAGAAATATAGAATGTAATATAATATATTTAAGATATGAGATGAATTGATTATGTATACTATGTAATCATTTTTATTATATTTGATTAGAGTAAGATATGGTATAAAATAAAAAGATAATAATTATTTTTTAGAAGGATGATATCCTTTGGCGGGGGATATGCAATATCATAGGGAGTTAGTATTACATATCATTCATTTTTGGAGGATATAATACATCATCAGATTTCATATCAGATAATCAAACAAATGATATAAGAAATGTGAGATCCATACGTCCAATGAAAAAAAGTATATTCCCCTCTATATACCCCAATATCAAACACGACCATAACATATATGGGTGGATAAGTTTTTTCAAAAGTGGGTTCAGCTAACAATTTTTTTAAAAAAACTTATTCATTCATGTATATTCTGTGTTTTATTGCATGTTTATAGGGAAAAAAATAAAATAAAAATGATACTAACAAATTTGTTTAAAAAAACTTATTCATTTATGTATATTCTATGTTTTATTAGGTGTTTATAGAAAATAAAAATGATGAAAATGATAATTGATTATGAACTAGCTTTGGAAGCCAGGATCCAAAGCAAAAGCAAGAGTTTTACCTGATAATCCCACCCCACCAAGCTTTTGACCATTGCCAAGGACAAGAGTAGCAGTGTAAGTTCTGTCTGTGGTGCAAGCAGCCACACCCATGGCCCAAGGGCTATAAGACACCACCGTGTAGGGGCTCGGACCCTTGTTGCCAGCGGCTTGCACCACAAACACCCCAGCCTTCCTTGCAGACAACATGAATATATCAAACACATTCAAGAAAGTGAGTGTTTTTTCTGGTAGCTCATCTGGTCCAATGGACAGTGATAAGATATCCACTCCATCTTGTGCTGCCTGCAGTAGTTGTAACATGATTTAGACTTCATTTGCCTACGAATAAACATGGTGTTGTTTATAGGACTAACTCAACTAGCGACACAAAATTCATAACTTTGTGAGCGTTTTGTGTATGCTTAGGCCTAAAAGTGAGCAATGTGAAAGCTTTTTGGTTATGAGTTAAAAAAAAAAAAAAAAAGAAAAAGCTTTTTGGTCAAGAGTTCATGAGACTCACTCAAGCAGTTCCTAATGAAAAGCTATCATATTTGTTTCAGCCTAAGATTGACGAGTGTAAAAGTTTTTGATTAGGGGCCGATGGGGCCAATTCAAGCAGTTCTCAATAAAAAAATTGTAACAACATATATAAAAATACTAATTATATAATTATTTTTATAAATCAAACTAAACCAAATCAAGACTTAAATCTCATCAAATGAGATTGGTTGCAAGAATCCTTCTTCTCCACTCGATTTTATTCGAAGTCATTTCAGTAGTCAAATTAAGCAGGTTCATATATCTACAATTATTTTTATACCATAAAAAAAATAGTATTGAATGATGTGCCATTGTGATATTTCTACAAGAGTAATAATTAAGAGTTCTAAAACTAAAACTCTAATGATGTGGCATTCAAAAAAAAAAAAGCATAAATATCACATCATATAATGGGTTCCACTAGGGCTCCTCATAAAGTTTCAAAATTAAACCTCTCAATCATTTTTGTTTCTACCATTACAAACAAAGGGATGGATGGAGAAGAGTGCTTTACTTGATCAATTGCAGCAACCACATCTGCAAGAGTCCCCAAGCTCGGATATATAGCCTTATAAACAGCAATTCTGTTGTATGAAAAGGATCAAAGAGATTACTTGTACCTCACATTTACATGCTCTCAATAAGGGTCATTCAAATGAGAATGATATTACAAAATGCAAAAGATAGCAGAAAATGTACCGTGCATGTGGCGCCATTCCACTGGCTTGCCCATAGCAGAAGCCATTCACAACCACCGGAACTCCTGAATTCCCAGCTGCTGTCGATGCCACGTGGCTGAACAAATCATATGTTTTTTTTTTTTTTTCCATGCATGTCAAAGCTTGGAATCCATAAAAATAAGTCTATGAACCCAAAAAAATTATATAGAAAATGGTCTAGAAAATACCTCTCCCATTATACATTTTTGGGTTTCTGTTTATTTTTTTGGATGCACATTTTAACTATCTCTACCCTTGCCAGCACCAATGACACAACTACTAGTTGTACATAATTTTTTCATAAAATGAATTACAGAAGAAAGACAAAGGTGTGGCCCACATGCACAGAATGTATCACAGAGAGGGTCTTGTCTCTCTGATTGATTCTGTAAAAAAATTATGTGCAGCTAAACTTTTTGAACTAGGTATAATATTACAAGTGTGATCATTGTTACCTGCCATGTCCAACTGCATCAAATGGTGAGAGGAAGTCCACTGAGGCATTAAGAGTAACAACTGCTTGAGCTCCAGCTGAGAAAAACCTTGCAGAAACTATCTTACCATTGCAGGAATTTGCAGGGAATCGAGGACCGTCCTCACAAGCACCCGAAAAGTGAGAACGATTCGACGCGAAAGGACTCATTGGATCATAGGCAAAGCTTGGGTGAAAAGGGTTGATTCCTGTGTCAACGAAACCAATCACCATACCTTCACCTGAATTTCTCTCTCCTCCTTCCACTTGCTGTGTCCAAACTCCTTCTGGTAAACCCAGGAATTGAGGGGTGTAACTTGTCATCATCTTGGCTCCCCTATCTCTCTCCACCAACTTCACTCCCTGAGTGCGTTTGATCTTTTTGACCTAAAATTTTTACAACACAACCCCTAATTTTACGTAGAATAAAGATTGAGAGTTTTAATTTTAGAACTCTAAGTTTAAAGAAAACTCTAGTGATGTGGTAAGAAATAAGACCCACATATGATGTGGTGTATGTACTCATGTTTTTGTTGTTCTCTCTTGACATATTACTAAAGCTCTCTTTAGAGTTTCAAAATTAAAATTCTTATCATTATTGTTTTATGTAACAAAAAAGCTACATGCACATAGTCCACAAAAATAAATAAATGATGCATAGAATAGAATAAAGACAAGATTCTACATGTACAACTAAAAATGCAGAGAACAGATAGAGTCCGTAGTCTATGTGCAAAAAAATTGTGCAAGAAGAAATGCACAAAGTAGAGACCATCTCTATTCTATTAATTTTTTCTTGCACGAGTTTTGTGTCTGTAGCAAAACTATTCATGTAATGTAGAGCTTTACAAGATAGAATAGCAATGCTACCCAGAAAATTTGCCGAAAAAATACCCATAATTTAAAATCCAAGGACAAGATTCCTTCTAATTGTGGCCTCACGAGAAGAAGTTCAAATCTATACGGTAGATTTCGAATTCAGAGTAGTTTCTGGGTAACTTTCAGAGATTTTTGAAGATGGAATGGAAAATTCTTTGACCTGAAAGAGGGAGAACCTGAGAAAGAGAAGTGTGGACTGCAAAGCCATTGACAATGTGTTTGAAGCTGTAAAGCTTGTTGTAGCTTCCTGTAACTAGAGTCCTTTGTAGAAGTTGATCATGAGACTCCACCAAGTGCTTTGCATAAGCCTCAGAAACTTCACTATCAATCCGTCATCCATACAAAATTGAGTAATCATAAATTAATAGAAAAAATATATATATTTAAAATTTATATACAGAATAATATGATTGTATTAAGACTTACTATTTTAAAACAGAATGTCATTAAAATGATATTTAATTATAAAAATATCACCTCCATATTATTCTAGTAAAAATAAAAATTGTATAAAAAATTTGTATGAGTTAAATGTTACTACAATATTTTACATATTAAACAATCAACCATTGTGCATAAGACAAAAACTAACTAACAAAAATGAAATGCTATCAGTTCTCAGCTCATAGTTCACACTCATTTGATCATGATATTCACATTCACTATGAGCTGGACTGAAAACAATAAGTCTATCAATATAAAAGCAATCATAGAACTGGATACAAAAAAAATATATTGATAGACAAGATTTTTCAAAAGTGGGCCCAACCCACAAATCTTATCCATTCATATGTTTTTTTATTTGAGCATGTACCTGTAAGGGTCGAGTTTTCTTCCTTCTTCAAGAGGCATCGGACCTTGATAAAACGCGACCGGGTCACCTTCCATTAGAACCAAGTATATATCTCTCTTTTCTGCAATGCAAGCAATAACAATCATGAATAAGAATACCACTCTGTGTGGCAATGAAACCAATATTACTTCCTCTTCTGCCATGGTAAGGGAAGACACGAGAAGAAAGAAACTGATTCTAGGGTTTCAGTTTGTTTTGAAAATGAAGGGTGATGAAGATAGAAGCTTTAAATATTGAACTGTAAGCCAAGTAAAAAGGGTTGGTTAAACACATTACTAATGTGAATAAAGTTGTGTTTTGACAGTGGGTTTTGACGAGAAAGATCAGCAAGTACATCTTGTAACCGTTGAGCTTAAATTAATGGAAGGATAGTATCTAAAACGTGTGTGTCTGTGTGCATGTTGTCATTGCCCTCTCTGTCATTCAAGCCTTGAAACTAATCAACTTTAGCATAGCTTTAAGTGGTTGTACTTCTAGGTTTACGAGAGTGAAGGGTTGTACAGTCACGTTTCTGAGAGAGATTTGAGGTTCGAGTTTATGCAAAAATATTCCGTTTGATTATATTAACCTAACTTACTAATCTGTTATTACTTTTTACCCATGCAAAAAAAAAAAAAGAAAAAGAAAAAGAAGGAAGGAAAAACATTTGCATAGACAATCTAAAGATCTTCTTGCTAGTAGTGATGATGAAGCATATTTAGAGGCACTTCTCATTTTGTTGTGAAAATTATCAATTCTATTCGTTTAATTCATTCCAAACTTGTGCTCTCTTGTGTTCTCTATTTTTTTTATTTTTGTTGTCAATACCAGCACCTTAAGAGGGGGAAAATAGAAAAACAAACGACCTCATAAATTTTTATTCTTTATCCATGAAGCTGTTTAAGCAAGCCAAAATTGCTGTTTCAAAATTTTAAAAAAAAAATTAAAAATCTATCTAGTGAAAAATGAGAAAATTAATTAAAAGCCAACTTTGTAATTAGTTATATTGTACCTAGTTCTCAGTTACACAATGAGCACAATCACTACTCATTTGCAATTAGTGTTTTTTTTTCTCTCATTTTTCTAATATTCCCACAAAAACAATAAATCTAACAATTCATAAAACATATTTAAAATTTTATCCAAAAAGACTATGATTCAAATTTATTCTAAATACAAACCTTATAATATAATAATTAAATTTGAATGATACTTTATATATATATAAATGAAGTTGTTAATGCTTTTTTCTAAATACATAGTATAATTTTTATTTTTATTTTTTAAATTCTAAATATAACCCTCAAATGAATTCGGACCACATTTAAAAAAATAAAAACAAAGTTCATAATTCTTTTTCTAAATAAGTAGACTAAATTTATAAATAAAAAAAAAAAAAAATACGCAAGTGGTCATGAAAAGTCACCTAGGTGTAGGTGCAAGTATTAAGTTTCAGATCTGAGTCTATAGAGACATTAGCCTACGTAATAATTTAGCTGTATATATGTATGTGTCTTTTTTATAAGTCTTCACGGGTACAGCAGATCTGTATTATCTTCAGTGGACCTCAGCAATGGTCCACATCTGCAACTTGAAGGGAGAAAGCCCTAGTGTCAGTTGCCCACCTTCCAGTTCAAATGCAACATAGATGACACAAACAACAGCACAAGAAATCATAACAAACAGCTCTACACTGTCAATTTGCCAGATGACTCACAGAAGCACTAAAGAGATTCAAAACCAACAACAGTTTTCTGAAATTCTGAATCCCAAGATTTAATTACTGATTCATCTTTCTGCACATAAACATGTACTTACAAAAGTCATATTCTAAATCTAGCACACACATACATTGACATTGATATCAAGACACAAAAGTACTAAAAAGCACTAGTTTGATTTAGCAGAGCACCAGCATGGTTTTGTTCTGCACTGTACAACACCCACAAGAACTAACTAAAAGCTAACACAAGCTCATAAAGTCACGGCGGCTCTTCATGCATCGTCAAAATCCTTCCTCTAAATGCAGTCACTTCTTCCGGCGCTTGGGCTCTACCTGTGAAAAAAGATCAGTGGCAATATTCATCAATATTTTTACAGAAGAGATGAGGCAATAGACGGAACTTCCATGAAATAACTTATTAGTCGATTAATACATCACTTCCGAATAGCGCATATAAATCACAATTCCTACGTCAACTAAATACAGTACTTTGGGTTTCCAGTAAGCCACTGTACATCCATTTCAATAGGAATTGATGATCTTTGAACAATACCTTCGAAAGGATGGCTAGCTCAAGATGCTGAACAACAAAGTTTTGATTTCAAAAAACACCACCATTATGGGAATGTAGATGCGGTTGAAAAATTACGTCAATCCATTGAGATATTTGTAAGCCACAAGTGAATATTTACGACAAGAAATGAATGCAGATGCAAAAGGGGTGTACATAATATAGCCATCTTTCATGCAAAGAATTATGATAGGTTTTTCAAAATCTTAATGCGATGAACTCTAGTACAAAGAAAGGGCAGTCCATTAAATGGTTAAGGTAATCATAATCCAAGCCTGTATGAACTCACCTGCAAGAGAATTTCAAAACGTACAAAAACTTGGCACATGGTATATATATAGTAAAAACCCATATGACAAAATTCTAAGTTCATGGAAGGAATCAAGTACACATGCAAGAGGAAATTAAGGATATTTAGCGGGACAGACGCGAAGAAACTTTTGGTAACAGATTTTAGGATAATTAACTAACAAGCACCACAATCAGTCATGTTTGAGTCATCACAACACAAGGAAATTTAGACAAAGAATTTGTGCAACTAAATGAATTTATTAAACAAAGTTATATCAAGACAATGTCTGAGGTTAACTTTGAGGGGCAAGGAAACAACGAGAAGTACAGATATATCTATTACAGGGCTAGTGAAAATATATTGGTCTATTAAAAATGACAATCTAACCTAATTTACAAAACTTACCAGAAGCTACCATTATTGACACCGGCCTCTAGGTGAGTTAAATAACAAAGCTGAATATGCACACAGGAAATGGAACAAATAAAAAATTGAAATATATCAGAAAAAACACTCAGAATCTCTGCTAAACGTTGCAAGACCGGGGAAGAAGAAATTACATGTCCTCTGCATCTTCCGATTAACAGACATGGCATCACCCGTTACAGTGTTGTACTACAATAACAATGACAAATGATGAAATCTAATTATGACATCTTGCAGATTAGGTCCTCTAGTGTTACAGATCTATGCAGGAGCCACTTGATATAAAGATAGAAGACGAAGAAACAACTTGTATACTTCACAATATGCACAGGAGCTATAAAACTATACAGTTCAATTGTGGACTATTTCTGAAAGTAGTCATATAAATTAATTTCAAATATTAATTTTTAGAAATAATAAATTAAGTATAGTAACATGATAGTCTGCTCAAGCACAGTCACATAAAATGGCAATAAACCTAGAAACACTGAAATAAAATAGCAATAAAACTTTAGTATATTTTGTTAGTGGGCCTTTGGGATAAAGTAGTAAAACACTCTGTGATATGTCAATCAAGAAAAGAATTTGACACCAAATGAAGCTGCTTGAACATTTTTAGGCAAGAGAAACGCATCACCATCCAATCCTTGTCTTAACTTGTGAAGTCTCATTACTCAAAAAAAATTAAAAGAGCAAACTTCACCTTGCCCCCCTATTGTTTTAACCATGTGCAGTTTATTCCCTTGATGTTTGGAAATGACCATATAACCTCCCTTATAGTTTGTAGACTAAAGTGCACCGTTAAGCCTGTTAACGATTTAATAAAAAAGACTCAAATACCCTTGTATATAAGTAACTTAAGTGTGTGAACTATGGATATTTTTGTCATTTGTTTGGAAGACAAATTGCACTTTAACCCCTTGTGCTTTAGTCCATGTGTGATTTACCCTTTTGAAATTTGAAAATAAGCATATAACCCCCTTATACCTACCACATGTTTCACACTTACTGTTAAATTGGATGGAATGTTTAACTGTGCACTTCAGTCTACAAACCACGTAGGGGTTATGTTGTAATTTCTAAATGTTAGAAGGGTAAACCACACATGGCCCAAACCACAAGGGGGTAAAGTGAAATTTGGTCAAATTAAAATAAATAAATAAAATCCTATACAAGGCTGACGTAGAACCACAAATTTTCCCATCCTACAACAAGGAATTCATCCTCCAATCATGTTCTACCATGACACAAGTTTCCTACAACAAAGTCTATTACAATGGAAGCAAGAATTCTCAACTTCCGAGAAAAACTATCAATTCATCATCCACTAATAATTTCCAGCACATGAGCAATTTTTGCCTGCTAATGCCAACTTAAAGTGTCTTAACAGTTAATGACTAAAGATTTGAAAACTTCATCTCAAGCACCAGCAACAGAATACTGGAAGCTGTGGCTAAAGGTTCAACAACAAGGTCATGAATTAAAGGCTGGAAGTATCTGTCGAATATATAGAGCTGCATCTGACTTGTGCTCCACCATAAATTCATAAAATAAATGTATGGCAGCATACAAAGGATAATCAGTATTCCCAGAAAAATAATCAAACAAAATGTTGGAAAGCCAATGGTAAAAACTCAAAACAACAAATGGTCAGTAAAAAGTAGTAGACAATAATTACGATGCAAAAGGCAATGATCTAGAGATAAGACAGGAAACTAACTTCTCTAGGGCAAAGAACATGATGTCAGCCTTATAGGTCAGGACTGTCAATAATGCAGCAACAAAATGGAAAATGTAAACAAAGATGCCAATCATTTAATACTATACTAGCCTACGGTACCATACAACATTGTCTAAGATAAAAATCCATTATGATCAATTTCTCTATTGATCAAATTTTTGGCCATGGATGCACTTCAACATCATGAAGAAGAACTCACATGACCTATGTATATTTCTAAAATCCTGTAAGAATGTTTAACAAAATGCCAGCTAAAAATCCATAATGTCAATGTCAATCATCATCTCTCTCTTTTTTCCCCCCTTAATGGGTTGGTAGTCCATAGAAACATGTTATCTACAAGGCAAGGTAAGGCAAAATTTCAATAAATAAAGTTGTAGTCCCAAGGGAACAAATTTTAACAAGCAGCCTAATCAGCAGTATAACCAGAAAGTTCCTTCTTAAAATGGCTCACATTTTTAGATTTATACTTATGTCTTGTTCTTTGGTATTAAAATGCTACTAATTATAATACTAGCAGATCAATTCATCTTATGAAGCACCAACACATCACAATGGGTACTGTCTATTTTGGACACGTATGGGACACCAACACACTGGGGACACAGGTCCACGTGGCGTGTCAATGATTTTAGTTCTTATGTTTTTCAGTAAGACACTTTGAGGAGGACACTTCAGGAACATGCATGGTTTGTGTTTGGACACGACTCAAGATACCTTTGTGAGTTTCTTTTTTATAATTTTAGAAAGTTGATTTGGTGTCGAGGGAAAATATACGAAAACAAAAAGGGTGGAAATTGAAAAAATAAAATAAAAATAAACCCAAATATACATTGATGCATCTTGTATCCCTATGCCCTAAAATTATATTCATATATACATAGCAAATAAGTGAGCAATCAACCCACATATCCGTGTCTGTATTTGTGTCTATGCTTCTTAGAATTCATCATTCCTTCTTCATCAAACAAAGCTAGAAAAAGTCTTCCCCATTGTCTTATAAATGAATTTAATCACAATTTGATTTAAAGAAAAATAACTCCAGGTTATTACAATCGATCAATTTGCATTTTTTTTAAAAAGGTTATGACTATAGACCAGCCTAGAAGACAAGAAAGCAGTGGGCAAGGGCGGAAAATATAAAATATACGAAAACAAAAAGGGCGGAAATTGAAAAAATAAAATAAAAATAAACCCAAATATACATTGATGCATCTTGTATCCCTATGCCCTAAAATTATATTCATATATACATAGCAAATAAGTGAGCAATCAACCCACATATCCGTGTCTGTATTTGTGTCTATGCTTCTTAGAATTCATCATTCCTTCTTCATCAAACAAAGCTAGAAAAAGTCTTCCCCATTGTCTTATAAATGAATTTGATCACAATTTGATTTAAAGAAAAATAACTCCAGGTTATTACAATCGATCAATTTGCATTTTTTTTAAAAAGGTTATGACTATAGACCAGCCTAGAAGACAAGAAAGCAGTGGGCAAGGGCGGAAAATATAAAATATACGAAAACAAAAAGGGCGGAAATTGAAAAAATAAAATAAAAATAAACCCAAATATACATTGATGCATCTTGTATCCCTATGCCCTAAAATTATATTCATATATACATAGCAAATACGTGAGCAATCAACCCACATATCCGTGTCTGTATTTGTGTCTATGCTTCTTAGAATTCATCATTCCTTCTTCATCAAACAAAGCTAGAAAAAGTCTTCCCCATTGTCTTATAAATGAATTTGATCACAATTTGATTTAAAGAAAAATAACTCCAGGTTATTACAATCGATCAATTTGCATTTTTTTAAAAAGGTTATGACTATAGACCAGCCTAGAAGACAAGAAAGCTGTGGGCAAGATTAACTCATGTAACAACCAACTAATCGAAGCAAACTAAGAAACACATACAACTTCAATCATTCAAATTGGGGAAAACGTAGACTCACCTTGCCATTAGTCAGCGGAGAGGAGGGATATGTATTCTGAGGTTTTTTTATATCATTATCAGATGAACAATCAGAACACATGAAGTGATCTAACATTTTTGCTTGTTCAATGGTCATGTTCACACAAGCAGGATGATACCTACAAGAAACCACATTATACAACATATAATACACTACAAACATACATATAACCAAAAAGAGCATAAGATTGCCATCAGTTAATCCAATCCTGTGGAACAATTGACTTAAAAGCTAAAGCAGCATCAACAATAGCTGTGCATAGAGGTATTTTATAGCTTTATCCACAAACTGAGTTATACTATCACTAGCACTGGCAAACTACATTTTTCATCAACAAATAGCCAAACAATTAACATAAAGTGATGACGGCCCAGGATTAAGCTACATGCATACATTAAAGTGGAAATGAATAAGAAAACAAACAGATCAGCATATGAAAAAGGAGCTAAGAGAAGCCACAAGGAGAACTGGTGCAAATTATCTAGCAATAGACTGATACACAGTCAAATCATCTCTTCATATTCTTGTGAATTTTTTATCCTCTTTTCACCTCCATGAGACGTACAATGATAGATCATATTTGGGCATTCATTGGCATTGGAACTCTGTCATCTTTACATAATCTAGTTTAAATGTCAAGAAGAAAGTGACTAAAGATGTTTACTAGATTTTTCTTTTCTTCGAATGTTCGTCTTGATTTTCACACTTACATACAAACTTCTAAAAAAATAGAATACATCAAACAACCTTTATTTACCCTCTTCAAATGATGGAAAATACATTAGAAATTTTAAATTCAATTTGTTTTCAATTATTTGAAAACCAAAAAAGTAAAATGCAACTTGTAAGACCTTCCCTGATAAATGCATACATATTAAATGAAATAAAAGAGCAAGAAGCTCAAATGCCATTTGTGTTAACTAATTCTTTTACAATGGCTTTGTTGATCAGATTTTCTCATCTTTCACACAACAAAACAGATAAAACAAGCCCAAACCTTTTATTTTCTTTCAGTTTCCTCCAGTTTTCCGGTGCCCATGAAAGGGTTATGGAAATTAAACGAATCACAAAATTGTAACAGCAATCCACCATCAACAAGGATCAACAATTGAAAAAAAACAGCCACGTGCACAATGTACATACCAGTCCTTGCACCCCTCACACTGTACCATCAAATCATCTGGGTTATATGGCATTTCACATTTGCAATACCTTCAAAAACAAAACCCAAAAAGCATTGCTTAAGCCACAAACACCATCAACAAAATTTCAATCAAAAAACCAAACATAATAATTTAAAAAATTAAAAAAAAAAAAAAAAAAACACTCACACTGCAACACGGTCAGGTGTGAATGCACCCGTGGCGGCTTTGTACTCAAATCGGCAATAGTAATCTTCAGTCCCAACATTTTCAAGCTTAGTGTAGTTCTTGAAAGAATGAACAGTACACTTGCCTTCAATGGTGTGAGCACTCTGAACATCATAGTGGTCCGACAAGAACAACTCTTTCGCTCCATGGAACTGTCTCCGACCACCCATCGACTCCTCCGGCCGGTAGTACCACCGCACCCTAACCTTGATATTGCTCCGATTATCCGCCTCAATCTTCTCCACAAGCGCCACGTATGGGGCTGTATTGTTGTCCGATGGTCGCATCAACACGCAATCCCCAGCTTCAAAAACCCACACCCCAAAAATAACCAAAAAAACACTATTCAATCACCGAAAATCAAGCTTAATAAACACAAAATCCCCAGCTTCAAAACCCACACCCCAAAATTATCAAAAACAACACTCAAATCATTCAATCACCCAAAATCAAGCTTAATCAACACAAAATCCCCAGCTTCAAAACCCACACCCAAAATAATAAAAACAACACTCTATCATTCAATCACCCAAAATCACGCTTAATCAAACCAAAATCCCCAGCTACAAAATCCACAACACCCAATCACCCAAAATCAACATGCACAAGCTTTATCAATGAAAATGTATAGATACATAGAAATGTATATGTATGTATTACCTCTGACGACTTTGTTGGTGCCTCTGATGGTATAAGAGTCCAAATCTCGTCTGCCTGGTCTGGTTTTGGCCATTGACAGGAGCAAAGAGTGAGCCCTTTTTTTCTCACAGAGAGCTACAGATAGATACAAGGAGCTATATGTATAGGTTTTGAACTGTACTTTAATGGGGGAATCGAAACCCTAGGCACATTGTTGGAGATGGTGAGGTGGTTCTGGAGGTGGGCTCCATTGATTTGAGGTGAAAATGGTTTCTTTATAAACCCTAGATTTTGGGGAAGAGAACAGAATAGAAAACCCTAGAGAGCTTAGATTTGTATAGCCAGCTACTTGAGAAACATTAAAAACAAGTGGACCAAGATAATCAAAGAAAGCACATTTAAGAGATTTTGCTTTGAAAAACAGTGAATGTGACCTCCCATTTTTCACCCCCATAAACTATCATATCTCTTAGGACATGATGAGCTTTGTAAGAGAGGTAGTAATATTGGTCTGAGAAGTTGGTGTTTTTTATGTAATTTTTTTTAAAAATTAAAATAAAAAATTAAAATAAGAGAACCCCCCCCAAAAAAAAACAATGGAAAAAGGAAAAAGGACGTATTGGGTTTAGTTTGGTTTTGTAGGGTTGAGCAAAGAATCCATGAAATTCGTAATCCGATCTAGTCCAGTCCAATCTGATAGGTTTGGATTGGTTTTTTGAATCCACAATTCGGTTCCGGATTGAAGAATTAAAAATCCGTAGTTCACGGATTGGTTCCGGATTGAATCTCACAGTTTCGGATTGGAACCGATCCAGACCGTATACAAATAGTCTATATTTTTATTTTACATCATTTCCCATAGTATCTTCTCTTATTCTATGTAAAATCTAAACTCAAACTTAAAACCGTATAATATCTTCTTTTATTACTTTTGTTTGTTAGTTTTAAGTTGGTCTAAATACTTATGGTGAAATCAGTTTTCTTATGGTTGTTTAAATTCTAGAACAGTATGTCGTTATTATAGAAAAACATGTTGCTATTATGTAACTAATATAGCACTATGTTTATATTTTTATGAAATTCAAGTGTTATATATATATATATTTTTGTTATTTAATTATGTGAATCCGTGGTCCTAAACCGATCCAATCGGTATTTAAATGGATTGGTTCGGATTGGTTCCATGATTTAAACGGATTGGATTGGTTCCAATTTTTCAAGAACCGTAAATAATGGATTGGTCTTGGTTTTATCCCAATTCGGTCCAATCCGGACCATGCTCACCCCTATGGTTTTGGAATCTGTTTTAGAAAATATATATATATATATATAAATAAATTTTGTGAAAAAATAAAAACGAAAATACATTATTCTTAAATAATTTTAGCTCTTAATAATATTTAAAATATTTTTTTAATATTTATTTTCATTAAACTGATTTTAATTTTTTTTTAATAAGTCTGAAAGTAGTTTTTGAAAATCAAACCAAAAATCGCCTTTTTGGGATTTATTTTTTTTTACCAAAAAATGTGTAAAAAATTGAGAGAGTGAATAAATCTTTGATTTTTTTTTTGTATAATTTTTTAATTTTTCACCATGGGCCCACTTTGATAATTCGAACTATTTATATTTTATATCACAATATTTGAATCATTCATAAAAAATTTAAGTTGAACTGAGAATCCAACCATGTTAATTTATGACATATATTTATATAAAAAAATAAAAGATAAATATTATTTGAAAACTAAACATTTATTTTTAAGAAGACAAATGCAATGAATTAACATAATTATGATTATTGAATCAATTTGATTTTTTATATGATTTAAAAAATAAATAATTTAAATCATTCTCCCAGCCTGAACAAAATGAATTGGAGAGAATCTACTCCTAATAATTTACACAGTGAAAAATGTGAATTTTGCAGGAATAAAAGTCATTGATTTGGTAGAAATGGGAGTTTTATTTTATTTTTTTCCTTTATGAAAATATGTGAAAAAGTTATCTTTGCATTAAATTATTGTAAGCTCGTATTAGATTCTACCCATCTCCAACATTGACCAAAACTTACAGCTGTCCGTAATCATTTTCCTAGACTGTTGTTGTTATCACTGTCTCTATTTTACGTTGCAATCGACTATACAACAATGATTCATCCCACTAAAAATATCACCACTAATAGTATTAATATATTAAAAAAATAAAAAAAATAAAAAAAAATTACAACTCCAAGATCAAAACATCACATCATTCATGACGGGACCCACTGCCACCTAATTAGTGGAGCACTAATTAGTGATCCCAAGCATTTTTCACTATAAAAATACGACTTGTTTAAAATATTAATTATTTTTTGTGATTTAAAAAATTATAAATATTTTTTATTAAAATTTTTTATTTAACAAAATTAATTCAAAAAATAAAAAAAAAATTTAACTGTTCATCTATATAATAATAAAATTATTTAAATTATTAATTGAAGTAAAATTTTAACATTATTAAAAACTGTTAATTAACTTGATTTATTAATAAAATGACCTATTTATTTTGTTATGAAATTAGAAATCTTAGAAAGCATAATATAATTTTTAAAATCACAATAAGTAATTTATAATTTAAGTAACTCTCAGAAAGTGTGTTTGTAATTTACCCAATATAAAAAGACATTTTTATAAAAAAAACATTTTTTAAATTTACAAAAGAATGTTTTTCATTGAAATTTTTTAATCGAAATAAATGAAACATAAATGAGTCATTATTTGTTTGACTTTTGGTTCTTGTTTTATTTTGATTATTTAGTTTGAACAAAATTTCATTTTAATTCTCGTAATTTTAATTTAAATAATTTGATTATTATATTTTTAATTTTGTTGTACTTTGGCCTGTCTATTAATTTTGGAATCACATTATAACAAAATTAAAATGTAGCGATCAAATTATTGAAATTGAAACTACAAAACTTAAGTAACATTTTGCTTAAACTATAAGGACTACTAATGTAATGTATCTTAAAAATTAATTCCACTTGTACAACCATTCCAACATTTTCGTAACAAAAATGTTTTGGAGCTCTAATAGCTCTAGTGGAGTGTGGATTCCATTGTGACAGTGATTTTTTTTTTTTTTTTAAAACTTTCCATGTCATTAGAGCTCATTAGAGCTTAGTGATTTAGAAGAATGTATCATTGTTGTTTTCGTAATTATATTTTCAATCCTGCTAGAGACCTCTAAAACACCATCTCTAACAAGAACTCTAAACAGGTGACACTACTACAAAAACAGATAAATATCACACTTTTTTTGTGTGATGTATGTTATTTAATCACATCTTTTAAATTTTATTAAAATGTGATCTTTGGGAGTGTAATTAAAAACGGTCATTTTTAATCACACATTTTAAGTGTGATTAATAGTATTTAGATCACACTTTGTAAATGTGTTTAATAACATTTAGATTACACATTTTAAGTGTGATTAAAAATATTTAGATCGCACCTTTTAAGTGTATTTAATAATATTTAGATGTGAAAAAAAAAAAATTCACTCACTAGCTTCTCATTTGCTCTTGTAGAGATTCAAACCATCAAATTTCAAACCATCAACTCTCTCACACCATAAACCTTATACAACACACTCATAACACCATATGATTATATATGCAACATATATTATTTATATAGTACATAGACCCGTATTAATATAAAAGTATATATATAAAGATAATTATTTTTTATTGAACATAATTTATGTAAAAATAAATTATTTACCAGAAAAAAAGAGACCACTTTTGGCCACTAAACATAATTTTAGTCGCCAATTCTATACTTTTGGCTACTAATTATTTTTTAGTCGTTAAAAAATTTAATTCCCGGGCTAAAATTGCCACTTTTGGCGACTAGACTTCTTTTTAGTCGCCAAAAAGTCTCACTTTTGGCTACTAAATATTTTTTTCGTCTCCCAATGCCTCAGTTTTGGCTACTAAATTTTTGTCAGTCACCAAAAAATCTCACTTTTGGCTACTAAAATTTTTTTAGTCGGTAAATGCCTCACTTTTAGCGACCAAATATCTTTTTAGTCACCCAATACCTCACTTTTGGCTACTAATTTTTTTTTAGTCGCCAAAAAGCCTTACTTTTGGCTGCTAAAATTTTTTTAGTCGGTAAAAGTCATAAATGGGCAACCAAACAGATTTTTAGTTGCCAAAACCTATACTTTTGGCTACTAAATTTTTTTAGTCGCCAAAAATCTGTACTTTTGGCTACTAATGTTTTTTTAGTCGCCAAAACCTATACTTTCAGTGACCAAATGTGTTTTTTTAGTCGCCAAAGATACTTTTTTTTGTAGTGGAGTGTGATTAAAAAGTAGTAATGTATATATAATCACACTTTAATTAGAAGATGTGATTAAAAAATATATATATATAATCACATTTATTTAAAAAGTGTGATTAAAAAGTAGTAGTGTATATATAATCACACTTTAATTAGAAGGTGTGATTAAAAATATATATATATAATCACACTTAATTGAAAAGTGACATAAAAAATAAATATTATCACACTCAATCAAATTAAGTGTGATTAAAATATCAATCTAATTTTTTTTATCACACTTCCAATAAAAGTGAGATATTTTTTTTGTCAAAGTGTGATCTTTAACTATTTTTGTAGTAGTGTGAGAACCAACAATATACTATGATCATGAATACTTTATATCATACCATATATATAATATGACAGTTTATAATCAAAATATACTTATAAAAACACTTTTTTCCAAAATTATTTAGTTTATTTAACAGCACAAAAGATCCATTTGCTTTCTCATTTTCCTATTTCAGAATATCACATGACAATTGAAAAAAAAAAAAAAAAGACATAGCAACTCTGTGGTAGTGGGTATTAGTGGTGGCTCTAATTAGAGTTCCCAAGCATTTTTGTTATATTTTAGGGTGGTGATAGAGAGCTCTAAAAGTAGAGCTCTAAATTGAGCTCTACTTATGTGACAATGAGACAAAAAAACAAAAAAAAAAAGAAAGGAAAATGGTTGAGACCACTAATTAGTGGTAGCACTAATGATGTGGCAGCGGGTCCCATCCACTGCCACAGTGTTGCTGTGTTTTTTTTTATTGAATAATGCGTGGGACCCCCTTTTGGGGGTCACCCCCTCACCCCTTTGCCACGTGGCGGGTGGTGATTGGAGGAGTAGGAAAAAAAAGAAAAAGAAAAAGAAAATGTAACCAATGAGAGAGGGGGGGTCAAAGGGGGTGGGAGGAAAAGGGGGGATGAATCATTGTTGTTTTTTATTATTATTATTATTTTAAGTGTGTGCCAACTCACTAGTGGTGCTCTAAAAAGCATCACTTTTAGTGGTATGTATCATTGCTGAAAGAAAAAAGAAGAAGGCCAAAATATCACATCAATGGTGGGCCTCACTCATTAGAGCTCCTTTAGAGCTCTTGATTTAAAGCTCTAACATTTTTGTGATATTTTCCAAACTAATTT